TCACTTTTCGCTTAAAGTCTTTAAACCGTCGCGAACAATATTTTTAGTTCATATGACACAAAGTGTCGTCATCTAGTGTCGAATATATTTAATTATATTTGGAAGCCGACGCAAAGAGACTTTTCTCGAACTATTTTAATAAATTAGGTGTAAAATTACTTACAAATGAAATATGATGCCATCCATAGCATCAGAGCGTTTATCTGAGTAGTTTTTACACGATAAAACCCAACATTTCATCCTTTTCTTCTTAATACTACGAAAATACACCGATTTGCGATTTTCAACACATAAGCGCACAGGACGAATGCTGACAGTATACTAACTAAAGCCACGCCCACTATGATAACGTCAGGACCTACTTAGAATCACAGTGCATAGTTGCATATGCCGTCTCCTCTTTGTATTTACAATCAGAAAATCGTCGTCATTATTCGCTGGCAGAATGTCTAGATTCAATGGCTAACCTCTCTCAACTGACCCTTGTTATTCCGAACGGAAATAAACGTATGTGTGTGATGTATTCACGGAATCCCGATTCGGGTTTCCGAAACGGAATCACGAAGCGGAATTCCGTATGAAAAAAATTACATTAAGGCCCGCCACATACATACGGAATTCCGTTTCGAGATTCCGTTTCGATATTCCGATTCGGAATCCCGAACGCAGCAAGTTCATATAAAATCTATGACCCGCCACACACGTACGGTAGTTTTCCGTACGGAATTTCTCCGATTCGAGATTCCGTATGATCGTCTGTGCGTTCGGGATCCCGAATGGAAAAAAGCCGCTCCGAACGCACGTCTTCCATAGATTTTGTACGAGTCGCAACACACATACGTAAATTCCGTACGGAATGCGCTCAGTGTTCGTCGCACGGCCGAAGCGAGAAGGTGTGTTTATGTATGTTTTTAAATTTAATCTTGTAGGTGTATAGCTTTTCGTAACCTTTCATCTTATTTTATTTAATAATTCGTCGATAGAATTTACATACATAAATATTTAAAAAATATCTCTGGATAGATAGATCTTTTTACATAGTATTGACTATATTGCAAGCTTAGGGTGATAAGGGGATGCACCCAATGTAATTTGCAATTAGAAAATCGTCGTCATTATTCGCAGGCAGAATGTCTAGACTCAATGGCTAACGTCTCTCAACTGACCCTTGTTATTCCGAACGGAAAAAAACGTGTGTGTGTGATGTATTCACGGAATCCCGATTCGGGATTCCGAAACGGAATCACGAAACGGAATTCCGTATGTATATGGCCGGCCTTAATTGTCAACGTCTTTCATATTGAAAATATTTTCCGAAATTGATATAAATTTATTTAATAGGTTTAGATTTTAATATTTGTTACTGCTTTTTGCTTAAATTCAGTTATTATCGGTTCAGAATAGTTCATTTTCGTTTGTAGGCATTTCTTCGCGATTGTGTCTCTAAAGATTCTTCGTGAGATGTTGACTCTGTAGGAGATATGGACTATAAATTAATTTATTATTTAAAATATTTATGCACGATGTGTGATCAGAATCGAAACTAAATATAGCGTCGTGCAAACAAAAAGCACAAAATCATCTGATCACTTTCTGCAGGTTTTCTACAATTGATGGAAAAAAAACTTGTGATATTGTGGTAAGTCCTTAAGTATTTTGAATTTACTGATCGTTATTTGTAGGGTTTATAACTATATTAACTCGAATTTTATCTGAATCAGATCTGTTGGGCTGAGTTAAATTTTCACCGTGAGAATTTTGCGGATTAAAATTTACGTTAATGTTCTGTAAAGAATAACTCTCACGATAACATATGCTATAAATTAATATTACGCGTGAAAATATTATCTGCAAAAGCAATAAAAACATCAATAATAATATATAGTGCATAACACAATCTCTTTCAAGAAATAAAATGACATAACCTATTTTTAGTTTTATTTTATCCCACATACTGCTCTAAAGTAAATTCGTTCGAGCCAAAATTACTCAAACTTGTCTTAATTAAACAGTTTAAAAGTAACAGAATACAAGGTTTGAAATTCCCCCTAAAAAAGTTTTATATGGGCACCCACTGTGGCGCTTTTAGTGTACACTCATTAAGTGTTTAATTAAAAAAAACTACTGTCTACTAAAAAAAGGAAACACGTGTTTCCTTTTTGTAGTATGAAATATGAAGTTGGCTTTAGGGATGATCAATGTTGCAGAAACATCGATGATGACATCGATGTTGGGATCGATAGCTCAACATCGATGTTCGATATTTATTCTACTCAAGACATCGATGTTGGCCTTTGTCGATGTTTCTTGCACATGTATTTTATAAGTTAGAATTAGATGAATAAAAATAATCATATTGTTTATTACTAATGAAATAAAAGAAATTATTAAACAATGTAGTGTAAAAGTGGACGAAGCAAAACATACTTGTGTAAGGATCGTAGCAAGTGGAAAGAAGTGGTCTCTGCCTACCCCTACGGGAAAGAGGCGTGATTATATATATATGTATGTGTATGTAGTGTAAAATAGTAATTAAAAAAAATTGGAAGAAGTTTACAAATATATATAGTCCAAAATTTTTTACCGATTGATTTCATAGAAGAAATAGTAATTTTGACAAAGAAGTACCTTTCAATCTGTTTCTCTGTTGATAAAAAGTTAAGCCAGCTTTTGAAAATAACCGCTCAGATGGCGTTGATGTAGTGGTAAAATATCTCACCGCAAGTTTTTTTTAAGCTTACATTAATAGAACCATCAACATAGTTCTTTACATGCATTGAATCTTGTTTAAGATCAACCACCGGATTGTTTAAAAAAACAACCGACAAAGAAACAGATAACCAACAACAATACAGTTTTACAAGGCCTACAAATAACACTTGACAGTTAAGTTTGATACACCCTAATGAAATTTTTTAGGTTATTGATGCGTTCAGGAATTCTGAATTATTCAAAATTTGAAATCTTTTAGAGATGCAAGATTTATTTGATATTGATTTCGCGGGTTCGCAAGTTCTCAATAATCGATTATGATTTCTTTGACATCGATGTTTGACATGTGGTAGCATCGATGTTAAAACATTGATATTTAAATTTTTAACATTGATGATCGTCGTTCCCAGTTCTTCTCTCGGTACCGCTCGGAAGGGCTAGAACGCAGAGCCGTAAAGCCAGTTAAAAAAATCTCAGTATCGGTAGAGAGCACAGAGTACATTATGGCTCCAGTACACGTTGGCCGAGCGCGCTCGCCGAGTGCACTCGGCCAACGTGTACTGGGCCGTTTTGTATATATTTGGCGTCTGCGGCCAACGCTCGCCGACGAGCCGTATAGTGTCGGTTTTCCGTGCACAAATCAAAGGAATTTGGCGCAAGCCGCAAACAGTGTTCACACGTTGGCCGAGTGTTCAGTTCATAGTTACGCGTCGGAGTAGACTGTAGTGTCGGCTTAATAAAATTGTTTCAACATGGCGACATGGACTAATGAGGAAATATTTATTTATTTATTTAACAGTTTATGTACACACATAATTCGATAGGAAAATGGTAAAAACATAATTATGTACAAAGGCACTGCCTATTCCATGATGAAATTTCTTCCAGCAGGCCTATTGAAGGATAGTTGAAGGAAATAGAGGTAGTCAAAGTGTGCACTTACATAAATATACATATACAATACAAATATATACATATACATACACACACACACACACACACACACACATATATATACGCATGTATATATATAAATAAATATCATATATTATGAAAAAATATATAATTCAATATAATATATTTTTAATGTTACTTATATGCATACCAACACATTACGATTTAATAATTATGGAGTGAAATATTGATTCATTGTTTATTGATTGATCCTCACAATGAATCAGTTATATGGAACCCCAAACATGAGCAACATAAAAATAAAACCAGAGTAACTTGCCTAACTGCATTAAATAATACATGTTTAGTTGCGATTTCAGAGTACCTACATAATGATAAATATTATTACAAATTATCTCTGCGTTTATGTTGTTCAGGGATAATGTAGCTAAGGGGCTTCTTTTGGGCTATCTTTTATTTTGAAAAAATCCCCAGCGAAGCGGGCACGGGTCAGCTAGTAGATCCTATAAAGGTTTCTTTTTTCCTTTTGAGGTCGGAACCCTAAAAAGGACAAACTGGGATTATTGTTGTATGTGTAATTTTTTTTCGTTCACTCTGAGAAGACTGAAGCGCTGTATAAATATATGACAGCGGCCGCGATTGCCCTAACGTCCACCATCATCTAGCTACCAACGCAGAATGAAACACGCCAACGTGTGAACGGCACCACGAAAATCTGCCGAGCGCGCTCGCCAAGCGCGCTCGGCCAACGTGTACTGGAGCCATTATATATTGTGAAGTAGGTACCTATATTTGTGAATATAATAATTGTGTTCTGTGATCCAGAGTTTCAATTAATGTACTCTGTGGTTTCAATCGTTTTGTTTAATTGTTTGGGTTTTAGGCGGGAACTTGACCGGCGGCGGTTGGTTGCTCTTGTATTATTGTTTAAATAATGGTTTGAAGTGGACTTTGATATGTAAAAGTGGTGCGATTTTGTGTATTAAGTGTCTGTGAACTATTAGTGGAAACTGTGAAACAAATGCTCTGATGGTGATGTGATTCTCAAAATAAGGTGTCTGTCTGCTTAGGCGTCTTGAGATACCATCGCCAACCATCAGCTGTCTCAAGTTGCCGTCAAAATACACCAAGGGCTGCACAATGTGACGCATCAACATATTGTGAAGCAGTATACTATGAACTATAATTATAATATATTGGAACTTCAGGTTCAGAAGGGCTAGATGCCAGAGCCGTAAAGCAAGTTATTAAAAAAAAATTTAATTGTTTATTAACCCTTAAATGCATAATAAAAGATTTTTACCCAAAAAAAATTATTTTGTCTCATAAAGGCGTAACATTTACTGAATAAAATAAAATAAAAAATCTATATTAACGGGAACATTTATTTTTTTATAAAAATATTTTTGTATCGTTTTCGATACAGTATGCATTAGCTTTGCAAAATAATCATGATTTTACAAAGTTGAAGAATTGTGAAAATGGGTGAAACAATCTTTGGATTTCTTACTACATAAGTGAACATTGCACTTAGAGAACATTTAATTATACTTAATAAATTACATGATGGCATCATACATCGACCACGTGTTTCTGTTCTCATGATGTTATGATCCATTTGGTCGAGTCTAACTTCAAGGGGTGGCAAAACTTGGCAAGGTTTCCCTTTTCGCATTTTAAGTGGGGGTTGATCTTCCCTAATTGCACTGGTGCTTGGGCGCCCTCTGTTGTTAGCGGGACTATATTTGCAAAGAGTTTCTGCCAACTCTGATCGAAAGTCTGCAAGGGTCATGATTTTTTTGTGGTTTCCTTTTTTTTCTTCAACTTTTTTATATAACACCCACGAATTTATTACTGTTAAATCAAGCAGGTGATAGAAGATTCTCATGTACCACTTTCTGCTCTTCATTCGAATCCTATTTCTTCCTAAAAAGGAATCCATGAGGTCTACACCACCCATGTGCATGTTATATTCCCTGATTAGCTTTGGGCACGTGATAAGAATCCTCTTTTTTTCTTTTTTATCGAATCGTTCGATATTCCCTACGGGACATGCTCCAACGTATGTCGACGCTAACACAACTTGCTTATTGTCCTTCCAACTTACTGTTGTCATGTCAATACCTTCAAAATTTGTAACATACTCTTCATAAGAACCTCTTGGAATTGAACTTTTCATAACATCCTGCTTAGTTGGCAACTTGCAAGTTTTTCCCAGTCGGTTTCTTTGAATAGTGCCTAGGGAATGTATACCTTGCTTAGTAAGTATACACATCAATGGCAAAGATGTGTAGTAATTGTCAAAATAGACAATATGATTTCTTTGCCTGGGTACCACACTCAGCAAATTCATAACTGTTTGTCCTACAACTCCCAGCTTTTGACTGTTTGAGGATCCTTCATTAGCTTCTTTCCCAGAGTAGATTATGAATCTATAAGCAAAACCGCTCAAATTGCATAAAACAAACAATTTAAAACCCCATTTCTGGGGTTTGTTGGGGAGATATTGTTTGAGAAAATGTCCCACTTTGGTGGCGCACATCTGTTCATCTATAGATAATCGCTGCTCGATGGTCACGCTAGAGAACTTTTCATTTAAATGGGTGATTATAGGACGTAACTTATGAAGCCTGTCATGCTGCACGTGGTCTACTGGCAGATGATCATCATTATTATTGAAGTGCAGTAACTTTCGCATTTTCTCAAATTTATTTATTGGCATTGCCTCTTTGATGGGACTGAAGCCAAATTTATTAGACCAATACGACCTTGTGCTCGGATAATGGTAAACAGACATAAATATTAAAATACCAAAATATTTGCGAAGTTCACCCACTGTGAATATTTCAGGTCTGTCAGGTTGTTTCTGGACAGCATAGCGTGCTGATTCAGTAACAATGTTTTCCATAAACGGATTCGTGAAAAAGTAGGTAAAAAACTGATACGGACTTTGCAGTTCCATTATAGATGAAGGTAACTTTTCAGACCCACCAAATTTGATGTTATTCTCATCAAATAGAAAAGACTGTTTTCTCCACAGTAAATTCCTCAAATTCATGAGAGATTCAGTCGGTTGTGCTTCCACTCGCTCCAACGACTGTGCGCCTTGCATAAGCTGCTCATCCTGAATCAATGGTTGGTCCAGAAAATCTTCTGAATTGTCCTGTCCCGTAAGAACGTCTTCATCGTCCTCTAATTCAGCTGCTAAGGCTCCTAGATATGGGTTATAAGAAATATCTTCTCCATCTGACTCTAAATCATCTTCCGAAATGTCACCATTCTCCAACCTCCTGAGCATATCCTCTATTTGTTGCTCTGAAAAGCAAAAATATGCATTCATCTATATATTAACAACGTAAACGTATAGTTTTGTGTATCCAAAAGCAAGCAAAATCATAAGCAATACCGTTATGAACAAACAATTGAATTGGGTTTAGGCGGGAATCAAATGCATGCTGTATCGTTTTCGATACAAACATAAAATGCGATATTTGCTCACGTAAACACATGAAAGTCGTGCAATTTCAAATGTTTTCAAGTAAATGAAGGACTTACCATCCATTTTGTGATTTTTATTGGTAAAAATTCGACTTATTTTCGTTTTCGCCGCTAGATGAAAAACTCAGTCTTATGATTATGCGCACCTCGTTGATGTCCTTAGCACAGACAAGAAAATCATCCTTCAGAAATAACATTGACACATGACATTTTTGTTTGTTTGTGGGCAATAAGGCAAAGAAACGTGTAAACATTCAGCCTATGCTGTACTTCAAATAAAAAACCGATAAAAACGATTAGAATGCAATGTATCAATATCGATACAAGATGCATTTAAGGGTTAAAAACGCGTATCATGGAAATACATGTACTTCGTACAAACTATACTTCCGTTTGTCTATACTTCCGTGACGCGTATGTAGTGTTTCTATATAGTTTGTGATTAAATTCTTGTTGTTATTATTCTTGTTGTTACGTTTTGAGTTTGTTTCTTGTTTTGTTTTTATAATGCCTAACGCGTACGTTTATAGTGCTCGTGAATACGGCAACATGCTAATGTGCCTCGGCGAAGCTCGCGGGAATGCTTCGCGTGCATTACGTATTTACCGAGAGAAATTCCCGACCGCTCGACACCCAGCTGACTCTCGTCTGATAACAGCAGCATTTCAGCGAGTGTGTGAAAATCGGCCCATTGCTCCGGAAGCGGCAGGAGGTGGAAGACAAGTGGCAGTTCACCACGAGGAGCGCATTTTAGATGTTATTCGCCGGAATCCGAACCTAGGTACACGAAGTATCGCCAAATTGTTAAGACGTCGGGGTGGACCAGGTGTGTCATACTCAACAGTTTACAAGGTGTTAAAGCGTAACGGAATGCGCCCATACAAAGTTCACAAAGTGCAAGCTTTAGTTCCCGGCGATTACGACCGACGCCGGCGAGTTTTCTGCCGTTGGTTATTAGACCAGCAACAACGTGTGCCTGGCTTCATTGAGCACGTCATCTGGACGGGCGAGTCGACATTTACCAGAAACGACCTGTGGAACCGAAGAAATACACACGTGTATTCCGAGGTTAATCCGCACGCTGTTCAACAAACTGCGCACCAAACCCAATGGTCAGTTAACGTATGGGCAGGTTTATTTAAGGATCGCATACTAGGACCAGTGTTTCTGCCACAGCCTCTTAACGGACAGCGATACCTAAACTTTATAAATGAACAGTTGGTTGACATTTTAGATGACCTATCGTTGGCTGAATATCGCCGCACATGGTTCCAACATGATGGTGCACCTCCACATGTCGTGACGAAGGTCCGTGAGCGCCTCACCGAGCTATTTGACGATCGCTGGATCGGTAGACTAGGACCACACGCTTGGCCACCTCGCTCACCAGATCTGACCCCGTTAGACTTCTTTCTGTGGGGGTATGTGAAAGAAAGGGTTTTTAATCATGAGTATGATAGTGCTGACGAAATGCGCCAAAGAATTGTGGATGTTTTTGATAAACTACGTGCGGACTGTGTCGAAGACCCCACGATAATTCCCCGCCTGCGTGCAGAGATGCAACGCCGAGCCCAAATCTGCCTCGAAATGAATGGGGCACAATCTGAGCCGCATCTCATAAGAGGATAGGAGAGATAGATAGAGAGGAGAGGAGAGGCCACAGAGGATTTAGATTAGATTGGTAAGCTGTTTCATACCTAATTTTTTAAATAACCTAGTACTGAACTCATCTGATTAGGTACATAACTGAATATATCAGAATAATAAATATACCGGGTTGGCTTTAGTAATCTGCGGCACGATTTAAGTGATAATTTTAGCTTTAGGTGATAATCAATGATGCTATTGATTACAATCTAGCTGCTTTTTATGCCAGAAATCTTTAGTTTTTGAGATATCTATAATTAAAGTTGAGTTTATGTCCATTTAAAAATGATACGAAAACGAAATAACAATATAATTATTAGAAAAGATGAGGACAAAAGAGAATGATATCTGTTTTAAAAAATAACATGCAATTTTAGCTGCCGGAGCTGCGTCGAAATATTTAAAATTATTTTCTTCTTCTTCTTCTTTGCATTTTGGCTTAAAAGAATTCTGCCAATGTCAAGTCAGTCATGGGAGTGACAACAAGTTAAATAAAATCTTATTTTTTTATAGTTTTTTCTTTTTAAATTTTTTTTTTGTGATTGGCTTCTAATCTACAACAAAAGACAACACAAACATTTATAATTCTACCACCAACAATGATTAGTTTTATGTTACAACTTAATACTATTAGTATAAATAAAATCACATAAAATATGAACAAAAGAGGAGAACACGAGAGACAGCAGACAGGTAGAATTTGTAAGACGAGGGTTGTTTTGAGGAAGGAGAACTTGAGTCGAGGACATTCGAAAAATATGTGATCGGTTGAACCTTCATCAAGGCCACATTCATATAAAGAATTATCCCTTATTCTTAATTTGGCTAGGTGTACCGGTGTGTAAGAATGACCAAAGCGAAGACGGCAATTGGTTGATGTAGTAAATTTGTTTGCTTCACGATAATGGAAACCAAGGTTTGTATGAGATTGTGTCTTGAACCCGAGCGTAGTGTTTACATTTTATGGTTTTAGTTTGGTCCCAGAGACCTTGCCAAGATGCCATGAAGTCAGATCCTGCTAGTGGAAGCAAGTCATGTGGGAAAATTTGGTACTGAGAGAGGATATGTGTTTGTGTTGTTTTCTTAGCCCAGAAATCAGCACACTCGTTACCACGTATCCCAGAATGGCCTGGAATCCAAGCCAAAACAACTTTTAGGCCTTTTTTGTGACAATTATATAATGCTTTTTTAATAAAGAGGATAGGGAAAAGATTTGATTTAGAGTGGAAGGAGCTGGAGATAATAGTTTGGAAACAGCTAGGAGAGTCAGAGAGAATTAAGGTATTTTCCAGATGAGATTCGGCGTATAGAATTGCCTCTAAGATGGCAATAGATTCACCTGTGAAAACTAATGATTCAGGTGGGCACTTAAAATTTTATATTATTTTATATTTAGGGATCCAAACTGCAGAATCTACACAATCCTTGTTAGAAGTCTTTGAAGCATCTGTGTACATAATGATCCAGTCTTGCCTAAAATTATTTTCTAATAATATTCATAAATCACTAATTAATACCTGAAACTGAAATTTTGACATTGACAGTCACCGATATACTCAACCAAACGGAATATAATCACTACGTTTTACGTTTATTTTCGAACAGACCCCTCGATCCCCTTCGTGGTTATTTTTTTACAAACCACCCAGAAATAGGAGCGCTTAGCGGGGCTCCTTCGACCGAGCTTCCCTCGACTGCGCCACGTAGAGTAGCGTTGGGCTACCCTCTCCTAACAAATTAGGTTTATATTGTCAAAAATATTGCGAAAACATAACCTCAAAATGAGATTTTTAAAACTTTAGAAAAAAAAAACTAAGAACGTCCGGCAAGAAATGGAAGTGGGGGGTGACTACTATTCCCCCCGACTACTATCCCCCCCCCCCTCCCTTGCCCACTCGGCGACCATATATTCATGCCGCAGATCATAGATAATACACTATATACCAAGAATAGATGCGCCACTCTCATTTCAGTTTTCGAATGAGTGTACCATGTACGCTAGATGCCGCTGTATTCTTTAGTACAACACGGCTTGCGGTAGTTACGACATGGTTACCACTAGATGTCGTATTTTGTCAATGACTATTGATAATTATGAACTATGCAGTTTTATTATCAATGTTTCTGTTTATGCACTCTACCAGATAATTATTGGATATCTCCAATGATTATCTTAAATCTCCAAATGGTAATTTTGCAGATAACATTAACACTAATAAAACTTAACCTATTTCACATAAGATTTTTTAAATATTAATATCAAAGACTGAATATAATTTTAATTATGTATTTATTTTCTTTTATGAATGTTATAATATTTAATAGCTTGAGTTTTCATATTATCATTTTCACAATCACCAATCAGTAGTTAATAATTTTCCGTTTAGCAGCATGTTAACATAGGTGCATAAACTGTAAACAACTACATTTATTGTTAAATTTAGTAAATAACCATAAAGCCTAAATTATGACTTTCACAGGAGAGGAACGAAAAGTTGCAAAATATTTTCTTCTTCTTCTTTCTTAGTTTTATGGCCCCTCTTTTTAGAATTCTGCCAATGTCAAAATATTTTAGTTTTCTGAATTATCGTATCAATAATATTCGTATTTATAAGAATGAACTGTCAACCGAGTGTGTCAACAAAAACCATAGACCAAAACTGCCATAGATTTAGATTTTTTTGGGCTTTGGATTCTGAGGTTTAGCTTAATTAATGCCATCTATACAATGCTGAAGAAAACTAACCTACAAGTTTATGTACCTAGTTCACTAGAGGGCAGAACTTTCAATGCATTTTTTATTCTTGTAAATTTGTATGGCAGTTTCATCCCCCTGCCGCAGATTGCTAAAGAAATACCAACATACCTACATGATAGATAAAAAAGCATCACTATCCTTGTTAAAATTTCATTTAGGTAAATTTTTCATTAGCGGGGAATCGAACCAGATATTTGGTTTATTTAACCTGTAAATTTGAATTAAACTGGCTAGGTGGAGACAAACTAATAGGTAGTAGAGTGGCAAAATAGTAGGTTAAGTAGATAAGTTAGGTAATTAGACTAGACATGGGATGAGTACTCGGTTTGGATTTGTTACTTGGTGGATTCGTCCTTTTTGTAGGGTTCGGCCGAGCACCGAGGTACTCGGCCTTAATTATATTCCAGAGAGAAATAGACATAAAGCCAGTTTTTATCATTATTATTATATTAGACATATTAAAACATCAGAATGTACATAAGAATCTATAATAGAAATTATTATTACTAATATTTAAAATTTAAGAGAGGAAGATTATGATGCACAAACACTAGCTTTTCGGCCCTATTTGGGTCTAGTTTGTAAGGGATATAACCGCACGCCGCCCGTTACCGCATTTTTTTTAAAGCCGAGTATTCGGCAGAGTACTCGAATTCGATGACGGCGCGAATATTGACCCTATTGTCAGCTGATTTTATTTTAAGTTCCACTGCTGGTTTTATGTTTAAGCTAATAAACGTTGTGAAACTATGTTCATCATCATCATCATCGGGATAGACTTTTTTCTGACCTATCATCAAAGGTATCGTCAGTCCGTCTTTGTTTCCGGGGGTGTTTCACAAACACCTGGTATTTCAAACTGCTTAGCAATTTAGATCAAACATGCATTCATTTTGATAAAACAAATGCATTTGTTGAGTTACGTATGTTAGGGCAAAGTAAAATATTGCTGTTGCATAAGCTTCAAATTTGATGAATTTAAAAGAAATTTGGTATATATCTATATCTGAAGACTTAACAATACATCCAATAAGTCTGATATATTGTTGCTATACATCGATTGATTTGCTATGTATATATCGTACTGTCCACCACTACACTAAAGTTCTGTTCTGGTTCTACTTGCACATTCTGGGCCAACAAACCACCAAAACAATAACAAGATTTATGAATGTAAAATAAAATAATATGCTCTTCGATTTACGAGTTCCATCTTAAAAGATCTGAACAGTGGTAGAGCCACGTCGCGGCTTTTGCTGTCGCACGGATGGGCCGGCTCGAACCGGGGTGGTACCATGACGTCACAGAATACCAGCGTGAAGTAGAGGTTTACCTCTACGTTTCGCTTGGTGAGTGCAGGTGGTCGAAGGCCCTTTTTACTGGAAATGAGGCATTCCATCTTAGTCCTCACGGGTGACAACGCATCTGCATTTTGATCTGTAACAGAGGATTGATGTAGATGTCTATGGGCCGCAGCAAAAATCAGGTGGACTGTGTGCTCGTTTGTCACCCTTATCCTATAAAAAAAAATACACTATGAACTGTTTAACTTGGTCCAATGTTAACCTGTATTTTACAAAACATTTTATTATTGATATGTTCCCTGAAAATCACAAAGAATCCTTAACTTAGGTGCTCCAGTATAAGCAGCGCTGTGCTGACCTGGAAAATCAAATGCTGGAATCGACACCACGAAGCGAACCTTTTTCATATCGTCAGCCCAGTAAAACCAGTATCGCACTCCCGGCGCCGGCCGCTCTTTCAACTCCGTCCACTTCGGATAATCGTAGAGATGAGACAATTAACGACTTGGATACGGCATTGCGACGGCTTGATGAGGAGAAACGGAAGTAGGTTTAATTTCAAGTTCAGTGTTATCATGCATTATCATTTTTAATTTAGTCCTTTTTGGTTGTTATTGTTCATACTGGTTCTTGAGAGCGAGAGGCAACTTAGTACTAATGAACCAAATATTGTGTGATAACTGTGGGTTAACCAGGCTCGGTATTGTGCTGTGCGGCTATCCAGAGGGAGGCTTATTTCCAGCAGTTATCATCCATAATAATGATGATTCATAGTGAATCTTAAAATATTGCTTTGTGGCTTAAAGATGCTACAGGTATTACAGTACATTGCATATCTAGACATCTGGTACTGTGATCTACCTGCCAAGCATGAAGATTAAGGCAAATCCCCCCTTTGATGGGAGACACCCTTGTCTAGCAGTGGACTTATATGGGCTGATTATGATGAAAGCAAATCAGCTCATTTTATAAGACAGAAAAGGTAGAAAAAATTTAATGGAATGGGGGTTGTCTGGTTCATGTGCTGCTACCTCGCAATGTCAACCTCTGACTTCTCTTAGATAATAAACCATTATCATATTTATATTTGATGTTATTTGTGTTTTCAAAATAATATCACTCACACAATTTTTTTGTACATTAATTTTCAGTTTTGTACATTAGTACCAACTTTTTTCAGGTGTGAAAAACTATTGTCACAAAACACCTTACTCCGTGAACAGCTAGAAGAGTCCCACCAGCTTAATGAAGCCCTTACCAATGATTTGCAAAAACTTACTAATGATTGGGAGGCTCTCCGTGATGAAATGGCTATTAAGGAAGACGAATGGAAAGATGAGGAACAAGTAAACATATTATACATAATTGTTTATTGAAATAACCTTATTATTTTATAAATGCATTTATTTTTAATTAGATACATTTAAGGAGTACAGTCAGCTTTTAGTTGCAATATTTTCTTTTTTGTGAGGAATAGGGAATCATTTATTAACATGGACTATAAACAGGTTTACAATAAATAATGAAAAAAATTACAGAAAGACATTATTACAAACTCATTATTGATGGCCACAGTTTAAATAAAAGTTTATTTTTAAAGTGGAGTAAATAGTGTGTGTGCTTGTATATGTGCGTGTGCATGCGTGTGTGCGTACGTGTGTACGAGTACCATATAATTGTTTCAAATCTAGATGTTTGTCTGCAAACAATTTGTCTAAGTAAAATGCTACTACGATTTCTGAAAAATTTCTAATCGAAACACAAGTAATCCACTAGAATTTTTTTTAAATTGTGATTGCATTGTTTAAAACAAAACAACTTAATTGGCGTATCGCCCGTGTGGTAAGAAGTTTGCGAGAGGGAGTGACGTACAGGCGTTACAGGGCAGTCAGGTGGCGCGGGTGGCAAAGAACATTTTTCAAGTTTGGCAGTTCACTCACGGATCTCACAGTGAACAGTTGATTATATCTGTAACGGATGCTTGGAACAAAACGCACATGAGATTAAAGTCACAATTAATGCAAAGATGAACCGCCCTCAAATTTTTGGAAAGAAAATTAGCAGGCAAGCGTAACAAATGTATACGCCATTTTATTCTTTCTTTAAAGCAAGATAACAAGGTCGAAGTTCTACGGAGTATCTACAAGACAGTAAATGTGAACAAAATTGTTGCACAAACAACAGGACTCTCATCGTATACTCTAAGTAAAATTATTAAAGAAAGCAAAGATCTGCTGAAAGGGGTAATAAGACTAAAAGTAACTCAATTTTATACTATTTTCAAGAAGGTTCCTACATTAAAAACTTTAAATCAGGATCTTAAAGAAGACGGAATTATTAATTGCAGTTGACAATATTTGAGAATATTGTTGCTCAAACTTGGGTTTAGATTTAAGAAATGTCACTCGAAAAGAAAGCTACTTCTTGACCAACCAAATATGGTATCTTGGCGATGGAGATATCTGAATGCAATAAAGAAGCATCTGAGAGATCAGAGAAACACCTTGATGAAACATATATAAATTCCTCCTTAAATGTCTCATCGTGTTGGCAGCCTACAGAAGAAAGAGGAGTGCTGTCACATACTGGCAAAGGGCCACATTTAATTATTGTCCATACTAGAGGCCGTGGTGGAACGAAATGAACTTGATAGCAATTTGGTTACCAAAAAATTATTAGCAGAATTCTCTGTAGAAAACAGGGAAAGCTGTGATAGCCATGACCAGAAAATTGAAATCGATTTTCTGGACACGTCAATTTGTCAACATGATCAAAAACTCAATGATGTTATGGATCAAATGATAATTAATTTATTCTGATTCATCAAACTTGCACTGAAAGTAAAGATAATTCAAGTGAGAATGATAGTAGCGAGGAAGAATAATATTTTTTATATCATTATTATTAATATGAAACGGTTCTGGCATAGTTTATTATTTTGCAAACACATTTTATATTTCAGCCCACAGTTGATTAAACTATAAAATTACATAGCGAAATTAAGATAAATTTGCATTGTTTCATATTGTGTCCACCGAACATTATCGCGGGATCTATTTTGGGTTAATTAATTACGTGTGCGCCGATTCCCGCCCCCGCCTACCTTCACACCGCGTTGGCGATCCGCCAATTTAGTGGTTTATCTATAGCAACAGTGGAATTTCACATGCCTACATTTACAAACATTAATATTAACTGTTTCAGGCTTTCAATGATTATTACTCAAGTGAACACAACCGCCTTCTCAATCTATGGCGCGAGGTGGTAGCAGTGAAGCGCATTTTCTCCGACCTGCAGACCAGCACTGAACGAGACTTATACAAAGTGAAAAATGATTTTGACTCTGTTGCAAGGGACCTCGTTGGCACATTGAGTGGATATGCTATCAATGCTTTCGCTGCTCAGACTACTAAGGTTGGCATTGATGAAGTTAAGATAATGGTTATGACAAGGATGTAAAAAATCCTCCTTCCTGACCTCTATCTTGATGGTTCAGTATCATAGTGACTGTGCATTTGATTGTGGTGCTGCAGTCATTTTGCCACCAAAAAATATTTATATGACCTACAAATAATTTTTCTGGGCTTAACTGCTTGTCCTCATGTAGTAGTTATTCCAAGTGAAACTTTTTAAAAATGTATATCTTTTACAATATTTCTTCTAGAAGATATTATCCATCCATCCATTACAGCCTATAAAAGTCCATTGCAGACCGTAGGCCTCACTCGTATATTGGGTTATGGGGGCATTTTGCCGTAGTTGCCACGCTTGGCAAGCGGGTTAGAAACTGCAGTTAATACTGATTTTGTTTTTAACAACAGAAGAAGATATACATTAACTTTTTAAATTGGATATACTTACCTTTTTTTTACATAATAAGGATGTAAGTCGATGCTGCGGCTCATAGACATCTACATCTATCCTCAATAATGTATCAAAATGCAGATGCGCTGCCCCCCGTGAGGACTAAGATGGAATGCCTCTTTACCAGTAAAAAGGGTGTCCAGTTCTCTACACTCACCATAAGAAACAGCAGTGTTAAGCTGCTATTTTACGCTGGTATTCTGTGTGAGCGTGGTCCTTCCCCGATCGAGTCGACCCATTCGTGCTACAACTATACTACGAATATAGCTGCAGCATGGCTCTAACATGTAAAAAGTCTTGATGTATTGCACATACTACACTGCAATCCAAGATTTTTTTGTCACTTGCTTGTTGTATTTTGCACATTTGGCCATAATTATATTTTAGCATACATTTTCCGCAAATAAGAATTTGTAAACTGGGATCTCAAATTTATAATTTATAATAATATTATGGATTCAACTATTTTTGAATTTTATTTCTAATCACAAAGTGATAGACTTACGTGTCATGTTAGTTATTAATGTAGTAAATCAGGAGATGGGCAGCAGCGTCTCCTTAATAACGTTTAGTCGTTAAAATAAATAAATAAATAAAAACTATGGCTGTCAACTTGCTTGCCAAGAGTGACAACTATGGCAGTCATCCCTCCTTTGAGGCAATCTATGGGAGAGGCATATGTTCAGCAGTAGACTTTAATAGACTGTAATGGTGACAGTAATGCAGCCTGTTGTAAAAATATGTACACGTGTAGTTATTAACTTCAATAAATTGAGAATACAAATGTATTGTTACTACTGAGAAGAAAGACTTTGTTACAGTGTAAAGTGTTGAATTATTTTATTGAAATTAGAATTTATACTAACTTAAAGTACTAAAGTATCATTTCAAAATGTTAACCACATTGATGAGAGTGTGCCCAATGCCTTACTACACCTTTATCTCACCTGATGTGGTGATGCAGCTATTGAGGGTAGAGTGCACTGACTTAGCTTAAGATAAGTCTATTTACTGTTGTTTCGAACAAAGCCTCCTTGTAATACAACCAAAAGTTTCGAGTACGTGGTGTGTCCTGGATGTCGACAAAAAATGGTTGGACTCCGAGTGTTTGATAGTAAGGGGAGGGACAGATTTCATTTTTAAATGCGTAGTGTAGGTGCAATATTGCAAATCATTTTGCTGACAGTTGAGAGGTTTAGGGACTGGCGTGAGTATGGGCGATCAGTGTGGGTGACATACAAAATTTGCTGTCAGCAAAATACGTTACAATGTTGCACCGACATGCACTCTTTCCTCGGCACTCTGCAGAATGGTGTAACCTGTAGAACACCGAATTACTGTCAATTTTATGCCTGTTCTCGAGACTAGAAAGATTGGCTTTAACCAGTTTGAGGTCACCAATAAGTTTCCTAGCATGCCTTTCCTCAGAGTCCAAAGCTGCTTGGTGACATTTTGAAACAACAGCCCATATATGGCAGCTATACTACATACACGACTAGACTTATTTGAGGCTTAATTTCATAACCACCACCACACCACCTAGATTGAATCTGTAACTTTATTTCTTTAGGTCCAGAACTAAAGAGTCCATCATTGATAATAATTTTAAATGAGGTATTTCAGGAGTGACAACGCATCTGCATTTTGATTCGTAATAGAGAATAGATGTAGATGTCTATGTGCCACAGAAACCACTTACCATCAGGTGGAATGTGTTCTTGTTTGTAACCTTCATTTTATAAAAAAAATCTTTTGAATGTTTTCTGTATATGGTATTTTGTGGTGTCAAAGACTATGTATATATACTGGACCGTCTATTCAGAACAAAAATTGTGCCACAGCTATGCGCTGGCGTTGGGCGGGTAGCTGTCACGCTAAAAATATGCCATGCAGTTATATTTTCATTTACGACAGTTATTGTTAGGCAATAAAGTTACGTACTTGTAGGAAGTATAGTGGGTATAGTACAGGGACTGATTTTGTAGTTAGGAATAATAATTAATTCGTTTACACGAATTAATTATCCAACGAGTCGAGGATAATCTAGTAACGGAATACGACAAGAGCACCGTTCCACGTCAGAGCCAAGACTGTCTTAACGGCGGCCGCTCAGTCCGTTTTATACAAGCAGGACGGGCGGCAACGCAGGTGCAATGCCGCAGGTGTGCGGTACACGTGTCGTTTACAAGAATTCTGTCTAGCTAGACCGACGCCACCGCATCTACAACGGTGCAGGTGCCGTCACGGCCATACTGACATGCGTGCGTCCTCGCACGCGCTCCATCACAATTTTAGTTATCTGTAGACAAAAAAACATCGTTCGACTATCCTGACATAACAGCGTCTGGTCCGGTCTATATTGACCCGTCAGACTCAGGTGACAGTCAGTTTTGTTCCGGCAGTAAGCCCTACAAAACTTTAATCATCTTTATGTTAGATCGGAATGATTAGTATGTAGCTTTTTCTATTTTCTCTTTTTTTTTCAAGTACTGTTTTCGCTAGTCCGGAATCACTATTCCCTATAGCTATATCACTGGACCGGCACAAAGCCCTGCAATGATTGTAAGAACTATTCTTTTTTCTTAACCTCTTTTTTTTTCAGCACTATTTATGCTAGTCCGGAATCACTATTCCCTGTAGCTATATCATTGGACCGGCAAACGCCCTGCAATGATAGTAAGAACCACATTTTTTTTCTTACTCTCTTTTTTTTTCAATTCAGTATAGAACAGTTACAGACCAACCATACCGCAAACATGTCCCCGTCACAATCACACAAAAGTGTATCGTGAGGGACGTAGTGACACGATAACACCTAAGTATGTAAACCAACAGCAACTCTACACATATTCCAGTGCAGCACAGACCAGCCTCCCTGCAACTTCATGTTCCTTTCCTGCACTAGAATAATTACTTCGTTAGAGTGTTGCAATGTCTCTAGTATTTTCTAGATGCACAGACACGGCTACCTCTGACTGTCGCACGTCCTCGTGCGGTTGACAGTGAAGAGCATACGGTCTATCAGTTATCACCACCTGCTAACAGATATTAACTCTTGTTAAATATTACAACGGTCGACCATCCCAGACTTCATTTAAGTCATGGACGCGCCGATATGGGTACCTCCAAGTAAACGCAATCCATCTTTCCGTTCTGCTGCGTTCGTGCCACATTCGCGCTAGCGAGCCGTCGCGCCGTACTGGCGCTAGCGAATCGTCGCACTGCTTTGCAAAATTAAAAATTAAGAGAAATGGAGATAAAGGTATTGCGAACCATGGAATTCCGAGATTCTCTTAAGAAACGGCAACTGTATGCCATTTGAAAACATTGCAAAAAAACGGAAACTATGTGTAGAGACAAATACTACAACATATTTCAAAGGGAAGGAGGCAACCGCGCAAAATCTACGAAAGCCGTCCAAGCCTCAGACGTCCATTTACAGCGCCAAAGCACCATTTGTTCGGCGACCGCTTGAATTGCCTTGCCGTAAGATCTGCCGATAAGTTACAGACTGTAGCGGTGTAGGCTCAATCTTACTAGCGCTCGGCCGTACCTGACCATGTTCGATTAGCCGTCACAACATCTTCCTCATTGATCATTGTTGTAGAGACTTCTACGAATCTCTCGACATCAAACGCCAATCTTGTCGACCACACAGTATTCGGAGCAAACTGCAACACTGATCAACACATTAGAACACAAAAATTTCACTTATTATTTTCAATTCCTAGCATGTTAAAGTTAATCCTTTATTTTTGTACATCGCTTAAACGTTTTGAATTTCAAAATATAACAGATGATAGTCATGTTTCGCATGAACTATCAAATTACAACAAAACTTGAACAAGTTAATTTTTCATTCAATGCAAACGATGACTCGTCTAGAAAGCCTCCGACATTTCTTCCATTTGTTAACATATTTAGGCACGTCAGAAATAATGAAAATACTTGAGGGTACTTTTAATACAAATCGAACAAAAGGATTTACCTTTTGGCTTAAATAATTTCACTTTATCTTTTCTCTACACTTTAATGATCGACAATATCGTAAGTAAGACAGCAAATTTCATTACGGTATTTTAACATAAAAAGAGATCCATCAATGCGAAATGCATTATAGCCTTTTCAAATGTAATAATTATCATACTATTCGAAGATTATATGTGGGCAATAAGGGGGACTTTATCCCACTTCTGATGTAGGAAGTATAGTGGGTATAGTACAGGGACTGATTTTGTAGTTAGGAATAATAATTAATTCGTTTACACGAATTAATTATCCAACGAGTCGAGGATAATCTAGTAACGGAATACGACAAGAGCACCGTTCCACGTCATAGCCAAGACTGTCTTAACGGCGGCCGCTCAGTCCGTTTTATACAAGCAGGACGGGCGGCAACGCAGGTGCAATGTACACGTGTCGTTTACAAGAATTCTGTCTAGCTAGACCGACGCCACCGCATCTACAACGGTGCAGGTGCCGTCATACTTATCTGAAGTAAACTTCAAATCACATGGACAAAGTGCACAGAGTTAAACAAAATCAGTTTTAGATTGTCGAAAATAACCTTCGCGGTTTACTAAACGACATAAGTTAGTTGTCTTGCCGGTAGCAGTGAACAAAAATTTATTAAGGCTGCTTAGCTTGTCTAGTTAGTATATGAGGTCTTTGTGTGGTGTACAATAAAAGTATATTCATTCATCCGTTCATAAAATATGTTATACGCAAAAAATATATTGTTTATATTGCCTTTAGTTTCTAGCTTAGAGATTTGAGAGTAAATATGTAATTTTCGTTCAGCCGGAGAAGCTGGAGCCGTCCTCTACACAGCCGGTCGCGGGCGGTGCGGAGGATCTGCGGGAGGAGCTGCGCGCGGTGACGTCACAGCGCGACGCGGCCGCCGCCGAGCTGCGCGAGCGAGACGCACGTATACAGCGCCTGCTCGCCGAACTCAACGCATTGGTGAGGAACACAACGATTTCATTAGTTGCACCTCTATGTATGTATGTAAAGTTTAACCTGTGTATCTGCGTATGTGTATCCTGTGTATCTGCGTATGTGTATCCTGTGTATCTGCGTATGTGTATCCTGTGTATCTGCGTATGTGTATCCTGTGTATCTGCGTATGTGTATCCTGTGTATCTGCGTATGTGTATCCTGTGTATCTGCGTATGTGTATCCTGTGTATCTGCGTATGTGTATGCTGTGTATCTGCGTATGTGTATCTGTGTGTCTGCATATGTGTGTTTGTCTGTGGCATTGTAGCTCCCAAAACATTAACCGATTTGGATTTAGTTCTTTTTTTGTTTGAAAGGTCACTTAATCGAAAGTATACTTTCTTTCTTGTTTTTTAATAACTTAAAACGAAAATTTTTAATTTATGTCATTTAAAGACTCGTTCGACAATGCTTTTTAAAAACGTCAACCGGCTTACTCATATAATTAGTATCAGATACCTACAATGGAATCTGTTAAACAATATTATATATAAATATATAGTAGAATATGTTTTGCTCTACGAACGATGAAGCAAACCGTTTGGTTTAAATGCGTTGAAAGTCGACAACGAAATGATGATGACTGCCCGTGCGTTTGGTTGTACAATGGTGGAAGGGAGAGGGAGGAATTAAGTTGTGCAATTCCTGCGGACATGTTTTATTTGCGTTCACTTTGTGTGTGTCTTTTTGATATAAAATATGATGCGATAACAACAGGAGGAGCGTTGCGAATGCGCAGAGTCGCTGTGCTCCGAAGCGAACGTGATGCGCTCGGCTCTGGAGGAAGTAGCCCGCGCGCTCATACACGACTCTGAGTCCGACTCGGCGCCTTCGCATATGCATTTGACATCTGACAGGTTAGTTATATCGAGTACTATATTCAACTGCTTCGTTTTTCTAGTAATTTGAATACCGGGTCGGGTAAAATCAGTTGGCTTTTTCTGTTAGGAAAAACTCAGCAGCTGGAAGTAAAGAATTTAAAGATGTTCACATGCGCCTTGGAAAGCATGTAAAGCTGTTTGTCCTGTGCCTGACCTTACTCAGGTCGTGTCGGATTTCTGTCCTATCGGACTATGAAAGTGAGGGATTGAAGACTGCACCTGCACAGTTGCACTATAATCCTGTCCTGCGCAAATGGTAGCCGTTAAGACCAGCCACAGTGACTGAAATTCCAGACAAAAGTGAATCTACTACCAAATAATGAACAAAAACATGCGTGAGTGCCGTGGAACACTCAGTTGGAACGAAGTTCCTTTCATAGTATATTATTATTGATAAACGTATTATATTATTGATTAACAAATATAAATAAATTATTAATTTGCGTCTATTAAAATGAAGCATCATTTAAAATAAAATACACTATGACACAAGGGGTAGTGACGAAAAAATCTTACACTTTTGTCGCCTAGCTCCAATCCGCTAAACCCGTACCGTCCGATAAGGAACTTCGTTCCAATAAAACTTTTTACGTGGTAGAGTCGCGCAGGAGCTATATTACTGGTACAGTTGTAGCACAAATGTGTCGGCTCGACCGGGGAAGGATCACGCTCTCACAGAATACCAGCGTAAAATAGCAGCTTAACGCTGCTGTGTTTCATATGGTGAGTGTAGAAAACCGGAGGCCCTTTTTACTGGAAACTTTTATTTTAGGCCTTGGGGGTGACATACCATCTGCATTTTGATTCATAATCAAGAATGGATGTAAATATCTATAGGCCACAGCATCCACTTACCGTCAGGTGGACTGTGTGCTCGTTTGTCACCGTAAAAAAACGTAAAAGGAATTGCATCATGTTAAATAATCATTGTTATTTACCCTTTTCACAGAAAATATTTTTTCACATAAATCACAAAGACATTCCCAAATAGGGTAAATTCAGTTAACTTAACCTTAAGTGCTTTTATTTTCGCAATAGGTCACCTAAGCGCACAGTTTCACAATCGGCCAACGCGACAGCTTTCGCAGAAAGCACCATATCAGCGGTCCAGGCGGCGCTGCACAAGTACCAGATACAAATACACGAGTTGCAGGTACCATCCTATAAGATAAATTATAAGTATTATGAAATACTAGATGATAGGACTGCTTTTATGTCTAAGAGTCTATCTGAGTAGGCATCAACCAAAAACCTGGGTAGGTATCAAAAGGAAGTGTATAGAGAGTAAGAATAATTAAGTATATTTTATGTGGTAAAGTCATGCTGCAGCTATATTATGGTTGTAGCACGAATGGGTCAGCTAAGCCGAGGAAGGACCACGCTCTCACAGAATGCCAACGTAAAATAGCAGCTTAACGCTGCTGTGTTTCGTATGGTGAGTGTAAAGTACTCCTTTTACTGAATACGAGGCATTCCATCTTAGTCCTCGCGGGTGACAACGCATCTGCATTTTGATTCATAGTCGAGGATAGATGTGGATGTGGCCACAGCAACCACTTAGCATCAGGTGGCCTTCATTGTTTGAAGTTAGTTGCAGGCTGCAGCCACATACCATCAGGAGGCTTATGAGTTCGATTGTCACTTCTTTTTTTTTTAAATAAAAAAATTCCGGCAATTTATGGGGTTTACCTATGGGCATTATATTGAGTTTTACGGGCTGATAAATGTAGCAAAAGAAGAAGATGTATCTGTCTCGTATTAAATAAGATTTATTACATAAGCATACTGGGTTTTTTTGCTGAGTTGAGTTGTTTTTTTTTAATGTGAGTATGACTAGTAGAGAATGCCACTAGGCATTAAGTCTACCCTTCTCTTATATAGTAAGGTTACAATCTTTAATTTAATAAGGCTGCTATAAAGCATAATTAAATATTTTGTAATCAGTGGTAAAATAAAATAAAAAAAACATCTTATTCAAACATCTGTACAGGTGAAGCTACAGAACACCAGAGAACAGTTGACAACAAGCAGGAAGCACTGCGAAGCGGCCGATTCGAATATCGCCTCGCTTGAAAGTAAAGTTCATGATCTTCAAGGTAAGACACGGCATATGTGCTGTCACTTATTTCAGGCTACGCATTAACATGTGATAATTACAGGTTTATTGTTACCTTGACCTGTGTCAATGTATTGATTGTTCGATGCTGGACGCTGTCCTGTTTAGCAGCAGATAGCTTAGCATGCATAGTACCAGCACAGTTTAAAGAGCTAACATTTGTGAAACGCTTTTGATATTAGGCGATGCCGTCACCTTTGTATTTACTATTTAAATCGCAAATATGCTAGGGTTGTCACGAAATTGGAAATAAAATAATTTTAGGTATTATTATACTCATTATTATTATTAAACAAAATGTTAATATTTATTTGTTTAACAAATAATAATAACGTGACACCGCACTTATTGTACAGCAGACTTAGTGGAGTGCTCCGGAACACGGTCACTCTGCATCAGCCGTTGCTCTGCATAAGAACATTCGTTTACAACTGTTAGACTCTCTTTAAACTGTGGTACCAGTCGCTGTGTTTTACTCTAAACTGTTTGTAATGGCTGGGCAACTTTATTCTTTTTAATTATATTTTTAAACTTATTTGAACATATGTCCACGGTTTGAGGCAATGGAGTCTGATTCTAATGTTTTTAAGTGCGTTTCTATGTGTTTGTGTGTACGTCTACATTCTTATGTTAGTGAATACTTTTGTCTCGCATATCTCTATATTAACAACAAAAGATTTCCAATAGATTGGGTCATAGGGGATTTTTGTCATAGTTGCCACGTTTGACAAATGGGGTTGCAACCGCAGTTTTTTTTATTTTTTGGAGTTGCCAGGAAGATGCCGCTGCCCACCTCTTGTTTAATTTTTCCCTGTCACCTCTTACGACACCCACGGGGTGATATGGAGGAGTATATTCTCTTAGATCACCACTACATGGCGGCCTAAGAGTCTATGAACTTTACAAGAAACTATAATAATGACTCCAAACTGAAATTCGACGTTTTATTGCATACTCAGACCATCAAAGAAATAGATAGTAGATAAGTAAGATAGCCGGTGCGCTGCGTTCATTCCAAGTGACGGCAAAATCTTGCTCAAATTTGTAATAATACACACACATACATAGTTTTAGGTGCATATGTGTGCGTTCCGCAGTAGGATTTTACGGGATGTTGAAGAAAGATGTGTGCGTTAGTGCGTATAAAGAAGTTGAGCATGGAATCGGCATTACTTGAAATGTACTCAGAGCTCTGTCTATCTTCGAGCGTTCATAACGATTACTCAATTGAGATTTCATTAATATGATTCAAAAGTTTTTTAAAAGAAAAGGAAATCAATCTTAAAATTAGTCAAAGGGGCAAGGGCAGAGTGAATTCCATCGGCACTCGTGTTTTACTTACCACTTTTTTTTATAGGAGAGGGGGCAAACGAACATGCAGCTCACCTGATGGTAAGTGACTACCGCCGCCCATGAACAACTGCAACACTAGGGAGGGAATTGCAGATGCATTGCCGGCCTTTTAAAAAGGAGTACGCTCTTTTCTTGAAGGTCCCTAAGTCGTATCGGTCCGGAAAAATCGCTGATGGTAATCGATTCCACAAGGAAGTCGTGCGAGGAAGAAAACATCTTCTAAATCGCACAGTGGTGGACCGCCAATCATCCAGATGGTGTGGATGGTATCGGGAGTTCTGCCGCCATGTGCGTTCGTGAAATTTGGCGGCTGGGATTAATCCGAACAATTCCTCAGAGCACGCCCCATGGTAGATGCGAACAAAATGCAAAGGGATGCAACATCTCTTCGTAGTGCCAATGAATCGAGCCGATCGGAAAGGACTCGGTCGTCGACGATTCGAGCCGCTCTGCGCTGGATGCGGTCAAGTGGAAGGAGCTGGCACTGGGGAGCCCCTGCCCAGAGATGGGAACAGTATTCCATGTGAGGCCGAACGTGCGCCTTGTAAAGTTGCAGGCGGTGTGCCGGCATGAAATACTGTCCCGCCAAGCTTTTTAGAGGCCAATTTGGCCTTCTCTTCCAAGTGACCACGAAACTGCACATCACTCGATATATCGACTCCGATGATTCCGATACTGGCTGAGGCAAGAAGGGGAGTGCCTTGAAACTGAGGAGATACGACAAAGGGGTTCTTTTTAGCGGTAAACGCGTAAACTTGTGTCTTCTGAGGATTAAACTGGACTAGATTTAGTCGCCCCCAATCCGAGACTTTGTTCAGCAAAGACTTCAGACACAAGTTTGTTCCGGTACTCGGCGACGATTTCCCGAGAAATATTGGCACGGCCGGTGTATAGAGCATCACCAGTGCTGTCATCCGCATAGCAATGAATGTTACCAGTTAGCAATATATCATTGATATGCAGAAGAAACAGCGTTGGTGATAGCACACAGCCTTGTGGAACACCAGCGTTAATAGGCTTGTAGTCAGAACTTGCACCGCCTACAACGACCTTGATGCTCCGATCTGCAAGGAAGCTGGTGATCCAATTGCACAATTTCTCGGGAAGCCCATAGGAAGGGAGCTTCGAAAGAAGAGCTTTGTGCCAAACCCGATCGAAGGCCTTCGCAATGTCCAAACTAACGGCCACCGCCTCCCCCTTGGACTCTACTGCCTCCGCCCATCTATGGGTCAGGTAGACCAGAAGATCATCAGCTGATCGACCCCGACGAAAACCGTATTGGCAGTCACTAATCAGCTGGTGATCCTCAAGGTACCGGATGCGCTGGCAGTTAATAATGGATTCCATTATTTTGGAGAACAAGGAGGTGATCGCGATAGGCTTATGGTTGGACGGGTCTGAGCGGTCGCCTTTTTTAGGGATCGGGTGGACAAAAGCTGTCTTTCATGAATTCGGGACTACGCCTTGGGAGTAGGAGTACCGTAAAAGACGCGTTAGGACCGGTGCCAACTCCGGAGCACACGTCCTCAGCACAATTGGGGGATTCCGTCAGGCGCACTCGACTTCTGGATGCCCAGGGAGAGGAGTGCTTTGCGAACCGAGCGTTGTGAGAACAGCACATCCGGCATGGAGCACTCACACCAAGGGATGGTCGGCGGTGTTTTCCCCCCGTCATCAAGAGTCGAGTCGGACGCAAAAAGGGAGCCTAAAAGGTCGGCTTTGTCTTTTGCGTCTTGGGCCAGTGAGTCGTCCTTCCTGTGCAGAGAAAGTAGTGATGGTTTACAGAAATTCCCTTGGACAGCCTTGGCGAGAGACCAGAATGCACGGGTTCCCGAAGGAAGGCGAACTAGTTTCTCGCCAATTCTGACTATGTGCTCTGACTTTGCCTTGGCAATAACTCTTTTGAAGGACCTGGAGGTGAAGTTATACTTCTTTTTAAGTGTGCTGGTGTTTACATCCCGAGTCGCCGAAGCCGCAGCCCAGGCTTGATAACACTCCTGCTTACTGCGTAATGCAGTCTTACAGGAGCGACCAAACCAAGGCTGAGATCTGCCTCCGATGGGTACCACAGATGATGGAATAAATAGTTCCATTCCCTGTAGCACCACATCAGTGACAGAGACAGAGAACAGCGCTGGGATCATCCGGCGAGAAGCAAACCCGCCCCCATGGGTAGGATGCAAAGAAAGACCGCATTCCGTCCAAATCCGCCGACCTGTAATGCCAAACACGGCGGCAACCTGCAGAACATAACCGCGAAGGAAGCGTGACCGGACCAGACAATGGTCCGAAGAGCCGAGAGGGGCATCGACGGAAACCTGATATCCGTCCGGATGAGAGGTCAGCAGAAGGTCCAACATGGAAGGTGTATGATCCTCCACATCTGGAATCTGCGTAGGCGAAGTAACCAGTTGTGTCAGACCTTATGCCAAGGCAAAGTCATAAACAGATCTCCCCGCATGATCGGTTAAACGTGAACCGAGCCATTCGGCGTGGTGGGCGTTAAAATCGCCAAGGATCACGGTCTCTGCGGATGGGACCTGTTGTAGCAAGGAATCTGTAGCCATTGGGACGTGGTCGATGAGTCGGTCTGTTTCGGCATTACCGCTATGGGACCTATAGAGGCACACGTAGACTCGCGGATGGTCGTCGCTGTTTACGCGTAGCCAAAGGATGGACAGGTCCGGACCTTCAAGACTGCCGAGGCGTTGAGAACAGATGTCCTCTCTGACGTACACGCAAACTCCAGCCCGAGGCACAAAGGAGTGCTCCAATTTGTACCCCGAAGAGATACGAAATATCAGCCGGAGACGACACCTGCGTCTTGGTCAGAAAGAGCAAGGCCGGCTTCGTCGTCTCGAGATGGTAGTGGACGGCGTTTAGGTTAGAGTGAAGTGCCCTGATGTTGCAGAAATTCACGGATAGCGTGGCAGGGGTCGCCTTGGTATTCTTGCTCAGTTTGCCCCGAGCAGTTATGCTTTTGAGCGGAATTTTGCAATTGAAATTGATTTTTGAAATTGTAAATAGGTGATAGGAGTTCTTTCCTGCCTAATCCGTGTGCGATAAGTCCGTTTGTCTCGTCGGTCCTCTTAAAATTTCTGTCGCCAAATAACAGTGTGTGGAGAGAGCCGGAGACCCATTTTACTGGAAAAGAGGCATTCCATCTTAGTCCTCACGGGTGACGACGCATCTGCATTTTGATTCTTTATTGAGGATAAATGTAGATCTCTATGGGTCACAGCAACCACTTACCATCAGGTGAACTGTGTGCTCGTTTGTCACCCTATCCTATAAAAAAAAACAGTGTCTGTACTGCTGTGTTGTGGCTGTGTGTTGGTCCGAAAGGTATACATAGCCAATATAATTCACAGGCTGTGAGGCATTCTATCATAGCCCTCTGAGGTGACAACGCATCCGAAGTTTTTTTTGTTTGAAGTTGGCTGCAGTAGCCACTTACCATCGGGTGAACTGTAAGTTTGTTGGTCACTTCAATTTTCTACCAACTTCAAAAAGCAGCCGATACTCAGTTCGGCTGTACGTTTTTTTTTCTTTTTTTATGTGTGTTACCTCATAACCTTTTATTGGCGAACCGATTTCGATGATTCTTTTTTTATTTGAAAGCTGGTGCTTCACATTTGGTCCCATATAAATTTGATCAAGGTCTGATCAATATTTTTGAGTTATTGTTAATAATTTATATTGAAGTCGGTTGTATAAAATTTTTAATTATGTTTTATAAGAACATTTTCTTTAGAAACTTAGATCTTGAAGAATGTTAATCTTGAAATATTAAATTTAAATTGATTGCCATGAAAATATTATACTTTAAATTATTTTCAGGAAAACTAGACCAAACAAACGCTGATCTCAACCAAGCCATTCAAGAGAAAGAGTCACTGCAGAAGACTGTAGAAATACTAAGAATAGATAAGAATAATCTAGAACGTAATAGATTGGAGATTAATGCCATGGTAACAAACGCGTTTTTATATTAAATTATAATATTTTAGAATTAAATTCACTTACTACTTTTTTAGATGATCATTATTTTTAAATACATTTCGATGACTTGGATCTTTTAATTACATTTCTCATGAATCTATGATAAAAATACAAGATGGCGTTAAAACTGATTTGAATGAAATAATATAGAAAACTGCATTATTTATTAAGCGAGAATGCATTCGCTAGGTTGAATCTCTGACGTCGGACTACGAGAAGCTGCAGAAGATAAACTCTCGTTTAGAGAAGAATATAGAAGCGCTAGAGAATGAGAAGCGAACTTTAACTGCTGAAGTGGACCACTTGCACCGCGAAGCATCTAACAGGGAATCGGTTTTGAGGTAAAATAAATTATTAATGATGTAATATAATTAATTATCTGTGCTCCATTTTGTTGCAATAACGCACCAAATTGTCATGGTGATGGTATAGGCATGCATATGGGAGATACATAGAATCATGTGTTAATGAAGTAAATGTTTTTGATTTATAAAAATAAATACTTAAGTAGAACGAAAGAGAGAGAGAGAGGGAGAGAATGATATAGAGAGAGATAGATTGAGAGCGAAATAGACAGAGATATAGAGAGAATGAGAGTGCGTAAAATGTGCGCTTCGATCTTTTACAGAACCTAATGTAAAATAAGCATTAGTTACATAGCCATCTATCGGGGGCCATTACGTCTTGTCTCTTAGTCGTCTCTTACGATACCTTTCGAGTTTGTTTAAGCTCAGAAATGATTAAGCTCATGTGTATAAATAAAAAAATCTTTATAATATAAATATCCTGTAGGGCTGAAGAAGAGCGCTCGTCGAGGCTTCGTTCGGAGCTGGTGTCAGTGCGCGAGGAGCTGAACAAGACCGCACTGGCCCGAGACCTGCTGGACCAGCAGAAGCTGGAGACCGAATCCATTCTGTCACAGATGGAAAAACACAGAAGTATGCTCAATTTATGCTGTATGATTTACACTTTACTAGCGACCTGCCCCGGCTTCGCCTGGGTAGAATCTTTTAATGTGGTGTTAATTAGATTAAGATAATCATGATAGACCATTTTTATTTTATCAATTTATCGATTTCTCAAAAATATAGCCTAGATCGCTCCTGGCATTGCTTTCTATCTGTTCGTGAAGTTTTATTACAATCGGTTCAGCCATTCCGAAGATTAGTACGGACAGATAGACAAACACACACATTTTAGAAATGAAAAATGTGTTATTCATCTCTTGTTGACATGGAAATAACTCCCTCAGTTCAATAAAAGACAGTAATTTTGATATTACAGATATGTACTTCAATTTTAATTGTATGCAAAGATAAGGAAAATAGGTTTTCAAATGACAGTCCCATACCGGAAAGGCCGATTTACACTTCGACAAGTACAGTAGCGAGTTAACTTGCGATACTGGCGAGTTAAGTGAACATCTCGTTTGAAAGGCAATTAGCGAGTTAAGTAACAAATTAACAATTAAGTTGAAAGGGATAGCTGATCGGGCTATTTTTCGGCGAGTTAAGTTCGAAGTGTTGCCCTCCCGCTCGTCTCCCGCAACACCCGCAACTAAACACGCCGCTCGTGTGAACGAACGAGTTTAGTTTAGTTCTAGGTTGAGATTATAAAATTGTACTTTTTTAACCAAACACGCCACGAAGACATTTAAAAAGCTACTGCCCACTTAACCGTTTACTGTCAACTGCCCTGTAACTAAACTAGCTACTGTAGTAATCAGCCATAAAACGAAGTGTACGGCGCTAGAACGCGTGTACGAATCAGTGGGGAAGGATGTTCAGCAGTGTACTGACGGGCCTGTAATGGTAATGATGATGATAGTTTAGTGACAGATTACTCGAAAATAGATGCAATAATTAATTTCAGTTTTCCGCCTTCAATGTAACTTTTATGTTAGATTGGAGGACATTTTTAGCCCTCTTTAAAAAAAACGAGGTCCTTAATTCGACTGTATGGTTTTTACAACTTGGCTAAAACAATTAGGCGCATGATAGGAATGCGTTTTAGGCGCCCGCACCCAGCCTCTATCCCCGCTCTTACCCTAGTGACCAATCACCGTTTCGTGTTCTCTTCCTAGTTCTTATAACGTCTTGTTGTCATGCGCCTAATTGTTTTGGTCATGTAGAAACAGTAATTTTTCATTCAATATAAATTATAAATAACAGTTATTGAAAGTCACTCTTTTGTTTAATTACCACGGTTCGAAAAAAAACCTGTCCTGGGAGGAACCAGCAAGTAACCCAGTGGGACTTTTTTTTAAATAACAGCTTATAATCCTGTAATCACAATTAACCAAACATAACAAATTAGAAATAGCTTGCTAGCGATCACCTCATTTCCAGGTCACACTTCTGGCGTGATCCTACATTCATTAGAAGAAAAAAATCCCCCAAGTCTGAAAGAATAGAAAGGAATTTTTTAATGTAACTATGTATTTTAACGACATTGAGATAGTGACACCCAAAAGTCTACTCAAAAGGGTAAAAATTTAAGTTTTACTTCGAATGTGAAATTATTTTATTGTTTTTGGTTCTTTAAAGTCTACTTTTACTTTATATTAAAAGTTATCACCAACAATCAACTTTAAACGAGTCGAAGGGAATGAATCAGGAGATACGCAGCAACATCTTTTTGATAACAGCTTTAAATAATAATAAAAAATCAGTTGTTAATCCACTTTTCAAGCGTGTAAACTGTGGTAAATATCTTCCCTATCAGGCAATCTATGGGGCAGGGATAGAAAAAATCATGATTTTTTAATTTTAATCAAATTATGCTGATTTTTAAAAAAAAATTATGATTTTTTTTGAATTTTTTGATTTTTTTTATATATTTTGAAATTCACGAATTGGTAACACTTTTTAACTTAGTAGGATTAAAAGTTTATGAATACACATGTATGAGACTGACTAAGAGTAAAATAATTAATACTGTATTAATTACAATTCATATCTTAAGGATGAATGAGGTTTTGGTTGATTTTACTAAGTTTATGAGACTGACAGACCTCATCGCTACGTCTTTGTTGATTTTCCAAAGTTTATGAGACTATTGAACTAAGAATAATAAGAATAACATAAAACAATAAAACATTTTACCTAATTTTAAGCCAGTTTTATTTCATATGTTGATTTAAATCAATGATTTTTTTTAATCAAAATCAAGCGATTTAAATCGTGATTTAAAACAGTCTGATTTACATCAGCCAACCCTGCTATGGGGAGACCTATGTTCAGCAGTGGAATGTTGATACCATGAAGCAAATACAAAGAGGAGACGCTGTAATTAAATTTCACTATGTAACAAAGCGTGACAATTTGCGGGGTGAGGGGATGCAAAGCCCCGCCCACTACACTATCTACATCTACCGATAAATAGTAAAACTACTCGAATCTTTCCATATCGATATTGCAATGTAGCTTAGCTACCTTGACGGTAGATGGCGGCATGTCCTCAAAATGTTATAAACTTTAAAAATAACACTTTGGCGATTAAAATTTCTTTATGTCTGAATGCAAAGAAATTTCAGCACCTTCGTATGATTATTTTATCATTACTGAGCTCTACGTACCTTTATATTTTTAGTTCACAAGACACATAAGTGTCGCCATCTAGTGTGGAATATATTTAATTATATTTGAAAGCCGACGCAAAGAGATTTTTCTAGAACTATTTTAATAAATTAGGTGTAAAATTACTTACAAATGAAATGTGATGCCATCTATTTAATTATATTTGAAAGCCGACGCAAAGAGATTTTTCTAGAACTATTTTAATAAATTAGGTGTAAAATTACTTACAAATGAAATGTGATGCCATCTATTTAATTATATTTGAAAGCCGACGCAAAGAGATTTTTCTAGAACTATTTTAATAAATTAGGTGTAAAATTACTTACAAATGAAATGTGATGCCATCCATAGCATCGGAGCGTCTATCTTATGAAGCAAATACATTCAGACAAAGAAATTTTAATCGCCAAAATAATATTTTCATAGTTTTCATAATAATCTTGGGAACATGCCACCATCTATCGTCAAGTAAACCTCATAAAAAATAACAAAAAGACAGGGCCGCAATTAGAATTCATTTATTTTACCCAGTAACCCAACATTCAATATTAAAATGAAGGAAATTGTACTTGGCTGATTTTTACGAAATGTTTAAGTTATATTTAAGTGACATTCTATATGCAAAGAATCACTTAAATACAATTTTAAATATGTTTATCATTTCGTGAAAGTCAACCAAGAAATATTTATTTTATCCATAAAATAAAGTCTCTTTGAAACTAAATATTCTATGTTCAATATTAAGTAGGATATTTAATTTGGAACTAAATATCCTACTTATCTCACTAATATTATAAAGGCGAAATTTTGTGTGCTCTTTCTGTCTCCTTGAGCTTATTCTACACTAAGTATGTGTAATTTTTTCACGCAGAAACGGCTGGATTATTATTTATGTGTGGGTTATACTACTTAATATCTCTGAGGGAGAACAAATAATAGACAAATTATTATGATTAATATAATTTTATTTACAAATCAATTAAAATATAAATATTTTATTCCAAATTAGGCATCCGAATGCACTTTTTGAATGCCAATCTAAGAACATTAAATTGTATTTAAGTGATTATTTGCATTTGCACTTAAATATAACTTAAACATTTCGTAAAAATCAGCCTAAGTACAATTTCCTGCATTTAATATTAAAAGTTGGATTACTGGGAAAAATAATTGAATTCTAATTAGGGCCCTGTCTTTTTGTCATTTTTATGAGGTTTACTTGACGAGAATACGGCCTGTTCTCAAAATGATTATAAACTATAAAAATGATATTTTGCGATTAAAATTTCTTTATGTCTGAATGCAAAACAAATTTCAGCACCTTCGTATGATTATTTTACCAATACTGAGCTCTACCTTTACATTTTTAGTTCACATGACACAAAGTGTCGCCATCTAGTGTCGAATATATTTAATTATATTTGAAAGCCGACGCAGAGATTTTTCTAGAACTATTTTAATAAATTAGGTGTAAAAATATTTACAAATGAAATGTGATGCCATCCATAACATCAGAACGTCTATCTGAGTAGTTCTTACACAATAAAACACAACACTTCATCCTTTTCTTCTTAATACTACGAAAATACACCGATTTGTGATTTTTTCAACACATAAGCGCACAGGACGAATGCTGACAGTATACTAACTAAAGCCACGCCCACTATGATGACGTCAGGACCTACTTAGAATCACAGTGCACAGTTGCTTATGCCGTCTCCCCTTTGTATTAGCTTCATGGTTGATACGCTGTAATCAATGAATTAATGATTGAACATTTTGAGACTGAAAGTTATTTTATATACTTCATCATCATCATCATCATCATCATTACAACCCTTCACAAGTCATAGAACATAGGCCTCCTGCAAGAATGCCACAAAGAATGGCATGCCATATACCTACTTAGATTTATAACTATACACACACATATATATATATATATATATATATATATATATATATATATATATATATATATATATATATATAATTATATGATAATTTCAGGTGAACTTGAAATAGAACTAGAGAGAACTATTCTCGAGCGTGGCGATCTGCAGGACTTGGCGGAGAAGTTAGAATCGGCGCTGAAGAACCTCGAGGCTGATAAGAAGAAGCTGCAGGAAGAAATTAAACAAGTATAGTTGATTTGTTTGTCCATAAAAATACGTGGCTTGGGATCATTGCGTTTAAATGTATTTATTACTATTATGCGACAGCAGACAGGTTTTTTATAGCATGGTATAATGTCCTCCACACTGAAAATCAGTTACGGCGGCTAGTCTCAACCGAGATTTGATGACTGCACAGGAAAGGTATTATCCTTTCCTGTGCAGTCATTTAATCTTGTGCATGAAGATTTATTCCATCGAGAGATTCTCAGTATAAATAGCGCCACGAGTCGTGAGCACAAAGTGACAGCACTTTCGTATTTACATTTTCCGGCCAACATATTTTTGTTAAATGTCACGTGAATATCGAATGAACGACGAAGATACCAATAACCATACGATTCAATACGATACGATACGATTCAATACCAAAGAAGATATGATCACGACTAATGCCGCTACCTATACCTGCCCGGATTCAGGAAATTGGTCCACCTGATGGTAATTGGATACTATGTCCCATAGACATTTATCATCGATGCAGAATCAAAATGCAGACGCGATGTCACCCATGTGGACTAAGAAGGAATGCCTCGTATCCAGTAAAGAGGGTCTCCAGTTCTCTGTACTCACCACACGAAACACAACAGCATTAACATGCTACGAGGGCGGCACTGAAAATTTCGGGAATCAAGGAAGTGACACAACATTACTATTTAAAAATGTATTTATTGCTTGTCGAAGTATTCTCCGCGAAATTTCACACATTTTTCCATACGATGGAACCAATCATTGAAGCAACCATTCCATTCGGAAGTTGGGGTCTCCAAAATGGCCGTTTTGTAGGCGTCCACAGCTTCTTCAGGTGATGAAAATCTCTGTCCACGCAATTTATTCTTTATTTTAGGGAAAGTATAGAATCATTAGGGCTTAGGTCGGGGCTGTACGGCGGATGGTCTAATAATTCTATGTTTTCTTGCTCTAAAAACTCTTTTGTTCTGTGTGCGGTGTGAGAACTCGCATTGTCGTGATGGAGGATGATGCGGCGGTTGCTGTTCTCTTTACGGAGTTCAGAAACGACCTGTGGCAAACATGCTAGCATACCATTCTGCATTAACCGTTCTTTGTCCTTCAAGAGGAATAGTCGTAACATGGCCGGTTTTGGAGACAAACGTGGCCACCATTTTTTTTTGCTACACTCCGTGAACGAACAATTTTTGTTGGCTTTAACTCATTTTCGAACACCCAAACTCGTGACTGGTTTTTTGTTTCGGGTTCGTACGCGTATATTCAGGATTCATCACCTGATACGATGTTGTATACAGCATTTGAGGATCCTGCGTGGAATCTTTCGAGAGTTCTGACGCACTAAGTAACGCGAGCCGCTTTTTGCTCTTCACAGAGTGAATTGCGGTATCCATCGGGAAAACATTTTTTTTACACCTAATTATTCATGCAAGATTATTTGTATTTGACTCATGCCAATGTCTAAAGTTGCCTGAATTTCGCGGTATGTCACATGTCGATTTTTCTCAATCTGCTTATGCACAGCATCAACGTTTTCTTGGGTGACTGCAGTTTTTAGACGACCTTGACGGGGATTATCACTGAGCTTGACACGTTCACGTTGAAATTCAGCAAACCAGCGATAAATTGTGGTTTTGGATGGTGCTTCATCACCAAATGCAGAAATCATCCGGTCAACACACTGTTTTTGTGTTAAACCACTTCGAAAGTCATAATAAATCATCGCTCTTGAATTTTCTCGAGTCAATTCCATTTTCTCAACGACTAAACAAGTTTGACAAAACCTTGTGACAAGACCGAGAATCTTTTTTTAAATAAATAAATGCTATTCGATTTTTAAAACCAAGGACTTTTCAATTAAAAAGATTTTAATATGACAGGAACAGTGGAAATATTCCATTCCCGATACTTTTAGTGCAGCCTATGTATTTTACGTTGGTATACTGTGATTGTTAAGCTGTGGCTGCACTGTGACTCTATCACCACCACTTTTTATGTGTACATCACACGTACAAACACACTATACATAGTGCATTACGTCGTTGACAGCTGGAAGAGGAGAAGTGTACGCTGAGTAAGCAGGCGTCGGAGCTGTCGGGCGACTCGGGGTCGCTGCGCAAGGAACTGCTGAGCGCGGAGCAGGAGCGCCTCGCGCTGCGGGCTGACGTGGCCGCGCTGCGCGACCAGCTGCAGCAGCTGCAGCACCAGCGCGACGCACTGCAGCTGGACCTGCGCCACGTCACCAGGTCACACAGCTCTGCACCTAGGACCAATTATAGCTGCAGCGTGGCCCTGCGTGCGACCAGTTATACACGTTACCGTTGCCGTTCCAGCCTGTTAAAGTTCACTGCTGAACATAGGTCTCCCCATATGGTCTAAGAGCTGGCTACGAAAACGTGAACTGATAAGGTGTAGTAACGAATTATATATATAACCTCTCCTTGGTAGCTTATAAGTGCAGAGCGAGGCCCGTCAGAACTCTCTCCCGGGGCGGAAGGCGTGGGTGGGCGGTCAAAGTCGTAAATTTTCAATAAGAAAAAAATGATTAGGTGTAGTTTTGAAGTTTGGTAGAGTTATAGTTTTTAACTGTAGGAATCTAGGAAAATTATTGTCAGAAGTCTAGGTCGGGGCTTAAAGACTGTCAGAAGTCGACAAAGTTGTAAAGAAATTGTTTAAATTTAAACCACAAGGTGCAGTTCTGACAAATGCATTTTTATATTATTTGTTGCTTATCGAACATGTATATAAATTGTCAGAAGTCTTAATAATGGCTAAGTACATAAAAATTGATGATATAATCAGAAGTTGCTCAAGCGGCTATCGCGAGAAAAAGGAACGTTTCGAATCTAGTTTCAAAATTAAATAACAAGGTGCAGTTTTGGCTATTTATTGTTTTTATTATTTACACTGTTATTTCAATAAATATGCAATGACAATAAGTTAAGCGAGGGAGATAAAAAAAATTATAAAAATTGTGTTGCTGTGATATTTTCCATTTGTTAGTTATTTGTTTAAATAAATTTTTTACTTGTTACAAAACATGATTTATATAATTAAATAATTATACTTCCTTTATATAAATATACTTTCCTTTTACTCCATCTACTTTTGACTTTCTTATAATAACAATAATTTAAATATTAAAAAAAAAACACATGGCCAAATGTGCATAAAATTATCTAAAATAAAAAAAGGATGTTATGCTTCAGTAACTTCTTATCATAGAGTACCTGTAAACTCTCGGCAAAACTTCTCCATTTTATTTAATTTTTCGTATTATTTATTTACTTCCTATAATTTTTTTGAGTAAGAATTATTTTTTTAAAGTCCGTCGTCTAAGTCAGCGATTACTTGGCAACACAATTTTTATAATTTTTTTTATCTCCCTCGCTTAACCTATTGTCATTGCATATTTATTGAAATAACAGTGTAAATAATAAAAACAATAAATAGCCAAAACTGCACCTTATTATTTAATTTTGAAACTAGATTCGAAATTTTCCTTTCCATCGCGATAGCCGCTTCAGCAACTTCTGGCCATATGATCATTTTTTCTGTACTTAGCCATTATTTTGCCTTCTGACAATATATGTACAGGTACGGTAAGCTATAAATAATATAAAAATGCAATTGTCAGAACTGCACCTTGTTATTTTAACCCAAAACTAGATTCGAAACGTTGATTTCCGTTGCGATAGCCACTTCAGCAACTTCTGACTATATCATCAATTTTTATGTACTTAGCCATTATTAAGACTTCTGACAATTTATATACAGGTTTGATAAGCAACAAATAATATAAAAATGCATTTGTCAGAACTGCACCTTGTGGTTTAAATTTAAACAATTTCTTTACAACTGTTGACTTCTGACAGTCTTTAAGCCCCGACCTAGACTTCTGACAATAATTTTCGTAGATTCCTACAGTTAAAAACTATAACTCTACCAAATTTCAGAACTGCACCTAATCATTTTTTTTGTTATTGAAAATTTACGACTTTGACCGCCCACCCACGCCTTCCGCCCCGGGAGAGAGTTCTGACGGGCCTCGCTCTGTACTTATAAGCTACCAAGGAGGAGAGGTTATATATATAATTCGTTACTACACCTTATCAGTTCACGTTTTCGTAGCCAGCTCTCCGACTAATAGATTGTTTCATAGGGATTATACACATAATACCACGTAAATATTATTACTTCAATGAAGAACTGTATAACTTCGTAACAGTCTAATTACTACTAACAGTCCGTCATCGAAGGCGTCTAGACGGGGCAATCGTGCGGTGCGATACACGAGTGGCGAGCTCCCAAACTCAGGTCCGCTAGCTAAGGTTCTCCTGTCACGCGAATAAATTAAAATTGTTCACACTACATGTGCGGTAAGAACAAACAAATTCAAATGTCCTGACAACATTAGCAATTTATTGTTTTTGTCGGCTTTTCCGACAACATCAAACGCGATGACCGAACTGTATGTTCTTCTTAGGCTGTGCCTGCGTGATGTTTGTTTTTCTGCCGACTTCCAAAAATTAGACGGTACTCAATTCGACTGTATGTTTTTTTTATGTGTGTTACCTCATAACTTTTTACTGGGTGAACTGATTTCGATGATTCTTTTTTTATTTGAAAGCTGGTACTTCTCGTGTGGTCCCATATGAATTCGATCAAAGTCAGATGAATAGTTTTTGAGTTATTCTTAATAATAATTTTAAATTATTTTTACTGAAAATATTTTCATAACGTTTTAGTTAAAGAAAATGGATGCCAATTGTTATTTGAGTTACGACATACATAGCAAAAAGACTGAATACTTTCATGTCAATAAAATTTCTTTTCACACGTAGCATGTAAAACTGTAATTACTAAACATTATAATGCCTTTGTTCAAATGAAGGTTTCTTAAACTTTTTACTTTCTCTGTTTAGGGAGCGTGATGAATTAAATTCGCAACTAACATCTATGGCTCGTAAGAAGGACGCGTTGAACGAGGAGATCATCAGATTGCAGCAGAGACTCGAGCAAGCCAACGAGACCATTGGCCGCCTCAACCGAACCATTGAGGATCATGTTAAAGACGGTGAAGAGAAACAGGTAAAACTTAACTTCAGATCACTTATGAAAAATAAATTAAAAAAATATTATTAAGCAAGCTGTATATAAAACGTAAAATAATCCCCTTTTTTCATTTATTATAAGCTCCACAGAATACTAATTTAGGAACATTGGACAGCAAAAAAAATTCACAGCTCATTCAGCCAATTAATTATTTTATTGACAACATTTTAAAATTATTTGGCGACAATCTCTACTCTGTAAGACTGTTTGCCCATAGAATATCTATCATAGACTAGTTTGACAATTGAGATTGGTAGTGGCATAAACAATATTTTTTTTATTTTATTTAATGCATTTGTAATAAATATTAAAAATAAATTTTAGTTTTCTGCATTCCTTTTCCATATAAACATTATACTCTTTCGTGTGTGTAATAAATATGCTTAAAAAGGTTTAAACAAAATTTCCTTTAGGTATTAATATATAGATGTCGTTTGCACAGATTGCAATGGATAAGTTGGAGAAGGAGAAGCAAAACCTGCACGAACAACTGGCCAGCTTACGGTCGGAGAAAGATGCGCTGGAAGCTGTGCTCTTCGACACTTCCAGCCTGCTTGAAGACGCGGACTCGCGCGCCAACAAGCTGCAACAAGAACAGCAAGAGCTGCAGCTGCAAAATGAGAAACTCAAAGGTACGCACTCAGTACGATACATCAAAGGTGATATCGCCAATCTGTCTGTGAAGCGTGGTACATACGGCTGTCTGTCTTACTTCAGTTGCCTAAGTAGGGTAGTGTACTTCATATGCTTAAGTAGGCTTCTGATGATAAAGAGACTGCGTTAATAGGTCGGCCCAAAGACATGTACATATACTTTTTTATATGAGAGAGGCCAAACGAGGATACGGCTCATCTGATGGTAAGTGACTGCCACTGCCCATGAACAACAACAACACCATGAGAATTGCAGCCGGCCTTTTAAAAAAAGATTAGGCCTTTTTCTTGAAGGTCCCTAAGTCGTATCGGTCCGGAAAAATTGCTGATGGTATTCGATTCCACAAGGAAGTTGTGCGAGGAAAAAAACCTCTTGTAATTCGCACAGCAGTGGGCCGCCAATCATCCAGATTGTATGGGTGGTATCTCGAGGTCTTGAGCAGCTGGAATTAGTTCCAATAATTCCTTTGAGCACTCCCCGTGGTAGATACGATAGAATACAGTGAGTCTAGCCGATCAGAAAGACCTCGGTTGCCGACGATTCGAACCGATCTGCGCTGGATGCGATCAAATGGGAGGAGCTGGGGAGTCCATTATTATTATCGATTAAGAATCAAAATGTAGATTCGTTGTTACCCATGAGGGCTAAGATGAAATGCCTCGTTACGCTTTTTTGTTTATGTTAATTCATAACAGGCTGGATTTCAAAACAGCTTTATAATTTTCAAAATTCTCATGATCAGGTCAAATATCCCGTCTGACCAAAGACCTAGAGAACAGCGAGAAGAAACTTCGAGAAACTAAGAACAATTTGCAGCAGCAAACTGGCAAGAAAGAAGCGGAGTACCAACAAATTATCACCAACATCAGTCGGACCACTACCGAAAACATCACAAAGCTGAAAGAAGAGAAAGTATGACAACTCATTGTTTTTGTTCTTTAAAAAAATTTTTGTTATTTAATAAATTTCAGATTTATTGATTTGTCATAAGACTCAAATTATATGCAACAAATTTCAAAGCGAGTTAGACGCGGGTGCTGAATTTTCATTTTTTTCTCATATACATTTGTATATTTTTAAACATTTTCTTTTTCAACCTATGTATAAAGGAGCAACTCCGTCAAGCCCTGGAACAAAAATTAAACCAGACCATAGCGACATTGACGAGTGAGAAGGAGGCATCGGAAGCCGGCGCGAGGGAAAGAGAAAAGAAGCTGCTGGCGATCAGAGACCAACTGTTATTACAGCATGACGAAGCCATGCTGCGCGCGGAGAACGATAAGCAACAGGCTCTGTTAATGGGTAAGGTTTATTTGTTATTGAAATACAAGTGATCCATAATTTTTGCTTTACCGAGTTTAATTTATTGCGGTATGTATAGATGTGAACTGTTTAAATTTCTGAGTTGCATTACGAAATACGATTAATCATCATTACTTCATCACCATCATCATCATTATAACCCTTCCCATAGGCCTCCCTAAGGTGTGCCACAACGCATAGTCCAGTGCCAACGTCATCATCTAGTCAAGTATATTACACCACTGGATTATATTTACAGTCTTTATTTTAGCTATTTTACCTAAGGTGTAAACGAGATTGTTATACGTCTATCGATAGCCATAAGATTTTTGTGGCATTTCCCATAGTCGCCTCTATGACATTCACGGGACGAAATAGGGTAATGGATCCTCTTACACCGCTACCATACGGCTAGACTTGGGATTAACACTATACTAAATATTATCTTCTACAGCCCATCAAGAGCACCAGGCGCTGTTGGAACGCCTGGAGGAAGCGAAACGAACCCTGAACTGCGAGCAGAACAAGCTGGAGCGAGTACGACGAGACGCGCAGGCCAAAGCCGAGCAGGACAGGACACAAATGAACCTGTTGAAGGAGGAGCTGGCTGCGCTCAAAACAAAACTCGACGAGGCTAAGTATGATTTGTTTTTTTTTTATAACACAATACAAAATAGTACTACGTACAGAATGGCTATGGCCAATCCAAATTTCAATATACACTTAATTTTTTTAAGCGGAGAAACGTACGTGCGTGTGGTATTTAATTCACTTACATAACAGCTCCGTTTATGTGCACAAACTTATATATGCAGGCATGGTAGATGATATAAATTTGTTTCATTATACTTCAATTAAGAATCAAAATACAGAATGTGTTGAATCCCATTTTTAATCGACTTAAAAAGGAGGAGGTACTCAATTCGTCTGTTATTTTTTTGTGTTACCTCATAACTTATTTCTGGGTGGCCCGACTTTTATGATTTCTTTTATTTGAAAGCTTGTGCTTGTCATGTAAATTTTATCAAGGTATGACTAGTAGTTTTTGAGTTATCCTTAATAATTTAAATTGAAGTCGGTTTTTTTTTTATAGAATAAGGGTGACAGACGAGCACACAGTCCACCTGATGGTAAGTGGTTGCTGCGGCCCATAGACATCTACATCTATCTTCGTTTGCGAATCAAAATGCAGATGCTTTGTCACCCGTGAGGACTAAGATCGAATGCCTCTTTTCCAGTAAAATGGGTCTCCGGTTCTCTACACTCACCATAGGAAACACAGCAGCATTAAGCTGCTATTTTACGCTGGTATTCTGTGAGAGTGTGGTCCTTCCCCGGTCGAGCCGACCCATTCGTGCTACAACTATACTATTAATATAGCTGCAGCATGGCTCTACCACGTAATGTACAACATTTTGTACAACATGTTGTACAACATTTTTAATTTCACCACTTGTTTTATAGATTAAGGATGACCAACAAGCACACAGTCCACCTGTAGGTAAAGTGGACACTATGCACCATAGACATCTACATTTATCCTCGATTAAGGTGGATGCTCCGATAGCCCGCCCATACATTTTTGTCTGGACATTTACGCTAAACACAGACACTATTTGTTTAAAATTAATCATTGTATCACTTCTTTTAGTAGTGTGACTGACTTTTGACAACTTTAACAAGCAAAAGCGCGAAACACATAGTTTAAATATTGTCACGCTATATGGCGCGCAGACGATATTTTGTGGAACATAAATACCACTATTCGTAGGTGCAACGATGCCGTCCCTCCTAACCTTGAACTACATACACTACGCTGAAAGAAGAAAAAGCGTTGCCAAACTGCGTTCGCTTGTTTGACTGTAATAAAATACATTCTAAAAAAAATTCTTGCGTGTAATATTATATTTTCATATGATTTTCATTGATTCAATTTGCAATATTTCTAGTACGTATTTGATTCAAATGTAATAGAATATATTGTAATTTATTGTAGGTATAGTAATTAATTATTCAAAATACGTATTTTATTTTCGGTGGTACTAGAAACAGCAAGTTGGCCCGTGATTTCAAATCTCGTCACAATACTAATTACCACCTACGTTATACGTGTCGGTGTTGAGCATGAAGCAAATACAAAGAGGCGTTGTAATTAGATTTCACTATGTAACAACGCGTGACAATTTGCGGGGTGAGGGGATGTTAAGCCCCGCCCACTTTACACACTATCTACATCTACCGATAAATAGTAAAACTACTCGAATGTAGCTTAGCTACCTTGACGATAGATGGTGGTATATTCACAAAATGATTATAAACTATAAAAATAATATTTTGGCGATTAAAATTTCTTTATGTCTGAATGCAAAATAAATTTCAGCACCTTCGTATGATTATTTTACCAATCCTGAGCTCTACGTACCTTTATATTTTTAGTTCACATGACACAAAGTGTCGCCATCTAGTGTCGAATATATTTTATTATATTTGAAAGCCGACGCAAAAAAGATTTTTCTAGAACTATTTTAATAAATTAAGTGTAAAATTACTTACAAATGAAATGTGATGCCATCCATAGTATCAGAGCGTCTATTTGAGCAGTTTTTACACGATAAAACACAACACTTCATCCTTTTCTTCTTAATACTACGAACATACACCGATTAGCGATTTTCAACACATAAGCGCACAGGACGAATGCTGACAGTAAACTAACTAAAGCCACGCCCTATGATGACGTCAGGGCCTACTTAGAATCACAGTGCACAGTTGCTTATGCCGTCTCCTCTTTGTATCAGCATCATGGTGTTGAGTAAAAAACTAAAAAGTCTAGTGTTTCATATTTTAATATTTCTTTCGGTCAACAATAACTAAAATTATAAATCGGTAAACCACCATATTAGTCACAAAATTAATTTTGCAAACATTTGCAAAATATAGTTTTGCCGGGTTACATAAAAATAGCTATTACGCATTTTGCAAACAGTTTCAGACAGACACACATTATTTTTAGTTTGTTTTATTTTGTTGTAGTACCAAGCTCAAGGTCGCGTCGTATCGTTTGTTACGGTCCTGGATTTCTTTACTTGATTGGTCATTGGATAACAGATGAAAATAATGGTTATGTATTTATTATTTATTTTCTTTTATTATGTTTATTACATTAATAATTATTTATTTATTAATAAAATATTTATCAATGAAATAATAAATATTAAACTTTATGAAAATAGAATAGAAATAAATGTAAGTATAATGTTTAAATATTGGTAAACAAGTTTACGAGCCGTATTAGCTCAGGTGGTTAGCGCTCGCTGTAAATTACACAGTACGTGAGCAACCCGGGTTCGATCCCTGTCGGCACCAATGATATTGTTAATTGCAGCGCGACCGACGTTTTATTGTTCTAAAACTAATCTAATAAAAAATAATCAACAAGTCAAATGGTTATTGTTTTAATTGTATTTTTGTAGTATTTTGTTTAGAATCTACATTATCGTTGTATATTTCTTTTTATTTTGTATTTACTATAAAATCAAAGGGCTCAATTCAATAAGCCGCTCTTTAGATGTTTGTTTTACTAAAAGCTTTTGTAGTTATTAGTGCTTTGAAATTAGGAAATATTATTTCACCTTCCTGGTTATTATCGCATACTAAATTGTGTTTTAGATTTGTTGTTATCTCTTGTTCATGAATAGTTTCTTACGTGTTATGTAATGTCAAATTTTTGTGATAATTGGTTATGTTGCAATTCATCGGTGTTATTAGTTTTGAGTGAATAGGCATGTATCAGGCGTGTTACTTCAATTACTTGTTTTGATCAATAATTTCAATATTGTAAGGTTATAAAATAAAACTGCGTTTTAATTTTCTTATTGTTGACATAATTTATTTCCCAAAATTATTATTGAATTAAATAGTTTATTTACGCCTATATATATGTCTATTATTTTTATAACATAATCGTAAAATACTGGTATTCAGCTGAATCCGGTTTGACTGGGAGCCAACCCCAATATAGTTGAGAAAAAGGCTAAGCAAATGGTGAAATAGTACATAATGTACATCGTAGCAGGTGGCGTTCTGTAGTTCTGCCTACCCATACAGAAAAAAGAAAAACATTTTCACGCCATCTTGTGTTCAATCTTCGTAAACGTAGGGACTAGGAATTCACCCACCTCTGTGTATTCAATGACAGATGTTATTTAAGGGCTTTGTGTCGAATTGTGTGGATTTTGTGGCAAAGATATGACCTAGTACAATAAAGTATAATATCCGAGTACAGTGGTAGCTATTTCTACGACTTAATAATGTTCTAATTACACAAAAACCCAAATAAACTAAATATGATGACTTCAGCGCCATCTCACAGGAAAACGGCCAAGAAGAGACCGTATGTTTCACCTTAAGGATTAAAATGCAGATGCGCTGTCAACCCTGAGGACTAAAATGGAATGCCTCGTATCCAGTAAAAAGGGTATCCGGTTCCCTGCACTCACCATACGAAACACAGCAGCATTAAGCTGTTGTTTTACGCTGGTATTCTGTGAGAGCATGGTTCTTCCCCAGTCTAGTTCCACGTAAATTAGTATGAATGAAAATGTATCAAAATATGAACTGGTGTACGTGTTAGAGCCACACTGCAGCTACATTAAGGTTTGTAGCATGAATGAGTCAGCTTGGCCTGGAAAGGACCACGCTCTCACAGAATACCAGCATAAAATAGCAGCTGAATGCTGCTGTGTATTGTAAGGTGAGTGTAGAGAACCAGAGATTATTTTTACTGGAAAGGAGGCATTCCGTCTTAGTCTTCTTGGCTGAAAACGCATCTGCAGTTTGATTCGCAAACAAGGATAGATGTAGATGTCTATGGGCCACAGCAACCATCTACCATAAGGTGGACTGTGTGCTCGTTTGTCACCTTTATTCTATAAAACAATCCTGACGGACGTTAATGAAAATGTTCTTTCATACAAAGGCATGATGGACCATTATACTTTAAACACTGAAATTCCTCAATTATACAGGGCTTCCGCGGAAGACGAATGCTCTCGCTACGAGAACCGCATCAAAGAACTGCAAACAGAGAAGGAGGCGTTGTGCCGCGAGGGACAAGAACTGCGCGCTCAACTTACACTCGCTGAAGACAAGCGAGATTGTACGCATGCACAACTACAGGATACTCTGAGGAAGCTAAAGGAATGTGAGTATTACTTTTTTATAATTCGGCGAACATGATATCTGTCTACCTGATAGTAAGTGCTGTATGCTTATGTAGCTGGTGAACACCTGAAAATTATATACAACAATGAAGGGCATGTAAATGAGGTGCATTATTACTTTTGTAATTGTTACCGTTTAGGTTAATGCCTTTTGTCAGTTTTGTAAAGTAAGATGAATTTCTCACAGCCTTTAATTATTATACTATTTAAAATAAAGGTTCATTCATTATACATATGTTGTGCGTCTTGCTGCATATCACAATAATGGTAACTTTTATGGCGTTTACTGCCAAGCGGATGGAATAACATCTATTATTTTTACTTTGATTGATGTGACAATCACGCATTAATCATAAAAACTGCGGTTGCCAAACTACTTGACAAAAGTGGCAGTTATGGAAAATGCGCGAAAAACAATGTTTTTATTTGGTTAATTAAAACAATAAACATATATGTAAAATTTCTAAAGTTGATTTATGTGTTTTATTAATACAGTTTTTGTTTGACAAAGGTAGAAAGGTAAACTCTTCAGCCTACTTTAAAACGTCATCATTAGTAAAAGTATGAAAAGGTATTGGAAAGTAACTAATGTAATATAATATCGTTACGTATAAAGCAAAACTATAAAAACGACCCCTTATAAAAAGTTGACATACCTACCGCATGGTGAATCTTGTCGTGTCCGTAGTGGAGAACGAGTTCGAGAGCGTACGTAAAGAGCTCACGGAAGTTCGTCGGCAACAAAGCGCTTGTTCTGCCGAACGGGAGCAGCTGGCGAATACGTGTCGGGAACTGCGGGAGCACGTGAAGCGCGCCGAACATGAACGACGGGAAGCTGCGAGAGCACGGGACGACGCCTACCACAAGATCGCAGGTTAGCGCACGTTACCATCATCCGGTCAAAAAAATACCACTATGTTTGCCTTTCGATCATAATGTGTGTTTCTTTTAGGGCATGCATTATTCGTCCAAAAAAGGTATTCGGATTTTCCGAATAATCGAATAAAAAATATCCGAATACTTCGAATAATACGAATTTTACGAATAGTGCTTAAGTTTGTGAAAAGAAACATTATTGTTACTTAAACATTTTAATTAGAAACATTTTTAATCATCCACACTTACTTAAAAATACAAAAATTTATTTTTCATAAAGTATGACATTGTATCGTCATTGAATGAACATCTCAAATGATTGCAAAAATATCTATTAGCCGAAAATACACGTTCTGCTTCAACACTTGTAGGTGGGATGGTAAGTAAAAATCGTAAACACGTATTCGATCTTCGATCTAATAACGCTATTTCCACCCTGACAGATGTTTCCAAGTCATCGTTTTCGGACAAATGTTTTGTTGATACCTCAGCAGCATTGTGCAAAGATTAACTTTTGTCTTTAACTGTTCCTTAAATGTCTTGGCTGTCTCCTGTTCCCTCTCATATTCAAAGCGCTGTTGTCTTTGTATTTCTCTTAAAGGCTGGTCTTCTTCAGCTTCAAAGACAGTTGTAGCAGCTTTATCTTTGCAAAAATAAGTTTCATTGATTTTTACAATTAAGGCTATTATTTCCGCATGGGATGCCTTTAAAAATGCATGAGGATTATTCCTTTCGTCATAATATTTTGTAGGATTATGTAAGTACTGTAACGTACTTACCAGTGTAGTGTTTCTCTTCTGCAAGATTCTTCTATTTAAAGCTTCTTTAAGCTGGCCACTAATAACGTCTGGGTTCATCGCCAATTTCGCCATCATGAATTGAAGTGCAACTTCAGCGGTTACTAAGCTTGATTTTCGCTCCAAAAGTTCTTCAACTGTGGCCTTTATGAAATTCAGAGAACTAGTCAGATCTTTCAAAATTAATATTTCAGTATCTGAAAGGTAGTCTTCTCTTTGAGATCAATTAATGTCTTTTGAATTGCGTCTTTGAATTCTAGAAATCTTGCTATCATATCAGCAAGGCTGCTCCAAAAGAGTCTTGCAATCGAGGATCAGGGTCGTGTCTTTAGATTTGGACTCCAGGTAAGAATTGAGTATATCCATGCGAGTAGGCGAACCTTTGAGAAATTTTACTATTTTCCGGACGTTAGTTATCAATTCTTTATATACCAGCTTGGAAATGACCCCACGGAGGTCAGCTTCGATGACGAAACCATTTTCATCTTCGTTCTCTATACCATTTTCGTCCCCAGAGTTAGAGCTATCGCAAGGTCTGTTAACAGTGATGCCGGTGTTACCTTCTGTGTTATCAGCTTTGACGTAGCATAAAGAAACTTTCTTTCAATGGGTGTCATGTGTTCAAGGAAGAAATAAAAAGAAAACCGGTTCCACTTTTCGCTATGGTTCCGGTTTTGGTTGCATTAAACATTTTAAGACGCATATTCCAAAACACCAAAATTTTTCAGCAAGATGTGCAGTGTGATGTAACCAAAAGTTGCATGCAACAGGAGTTTGTTACAAAATTTTATAAACAAGTGACGAGCTATGTAGTCATTGCGGCGAGAAATATTCAGATTAAATTTGATCTTTTTTTAACTTATTCTAAAGCAGTGCTTGACTAATGTAGGAAGTGCACTACATTGTGTGCGTAAATCATACACAACCTTTTACTTTAATATAAAGTTAGTTCCAATGCGTCCCAAGTTAGTTCACGACTGCCACTGTTTGTCATAGGTATTATAAATCAAGCGGTTGAAATAATTTTTTTACAGGAATTTTCAAGTTTGATTGTTGGTAATATGAAAAACAAGATAACAATAACCTGTACAGGCCTACAAAAGCAAAAAAACACAGTGGTCCTTCGAGCCGGATTTGAACCAACGACAAATGGATAACCACTTGATTTATAATACTTAATTGCGCACAAATAGTGTTTGTCGGGAACTAGCTTGGAACGTAATGGAATTAACTTTATATTAAAGTTCTAAGTATGATTTACGCACGTAAGCTGTATACTTCGTAGAACTACAATCAGATTTAGTAAGTGATAGTGAAGTTCTAGATCCCACTGTCTTAATGCTATAAAAGTCTGTTCACTCTTGATGAAGGCTTTCTTCAACATTGTAATCGGACGGAAAGATAGACGCTGGCAAAATATTATTATTCATTGTTGTGTTGGCTTGGGATTACATTAATAGATATAGTAGTGGACTCTATTGAGATTCAAAATCTCCTGAAACGTTCACTTACCGCAATCACAAAATTACACCAAAACAGCAATAAACTACTCACGGTCTTACTAGACAACCTCCTAAAATCAGTAAACTTTGGCTGCTTCTATACAGCACATTACACACTAGTAATTAGATTTTACACGGTACATTCTAGAGTAGTCCTTTTTAAAGTTTTTTTTTTGGAGAGATCACGCTAACACAAAGAGGTGTACGTGGCTTCTACCGGCTTCCTAACCTCTTCTTTTTCTAATTTTTTGACTTCACAGATTATTGCAGCGCGTTATAGGTCGCAATATTGCCACTAGGAATAACCGGCCATCAGATCGCTGCAGATCATTGCGCCTCGCTATAAAATTTCCGAGTTACGGTTTATTACTGAACAATTGCACTAAATATCGACTTCAAAGAGCTTAAATATTGTTAATATAATATTATTCTAATAACCCGATAGCTTTGGAAGAGTCGCGTGCGTCGCTGGAGGCGGAGTTATCGCGTATGCAGGCGCTGCTGAAGGAGGCGGAGTGTGGCGGCGAAGCCAACGCGCGCTCGTTGCGGGCCGCCGAGGGGCAGCTGAAGCGAGAGCGAGCCGCGCTCGACCAGGCGCAACACGACATCAAGGAGCTGCAGTCTAGGTCACTCTACATGTTAATTACTCTGTGCTACATTATAAAATAGCTCTGAGTCAAACGCACCACGATCTCTAGAAACTGCAGTCTGGGTCACTCTACATGCTAATTACTCTATACTACTACACTGTGAATTAGCTCCGAGAGTTTTGGCGGGAAATTGACCGGCGGCGGTTTGCTGCTCCTGTATTATTGTTTAAATAATGGTTCGAAGTGGACTTTGATATGTAAAAGTGTTGCGATTTTGTGTATTAAGTGTCTACGCATGTGAACTATTAGTGGAAACAGTGAAACAAGTGCTCTGATGGTGATGGATTCTCAAGATAACCTTTAGATACCATCGCCAACTATCAGCTGTCTGCTGGATCAAGTTGCCGCCAAAATCTCCCAAGAACTGCACAATGTGACGCATCAACATATTGTGAAGCAGTATACTATGAAGGAGTGGGGAAATTACAATAAACCGAATAAAAATACTTAAGACTTGGCCTAAAGGTCTAGATACCAGGCCATAAACTCCAAAAAAAAAAATTTGCTCCGAGTCAAACGCACAACATCAAGGAGCTGCAGTCTAGTTTACTTTATATGTTCATTAATCGGTGTTACACTTAATACTAACTTCGAGTCAAAAGAACCACGACATGAAAGAGCTGCAGTCCAGGTCACTCTACCTGTTTATTACTTTGTGTTACTTTATAAACTAGCTCCGAGTTAGGTCCCACTGATTTTGATTTTTTATCCCAGTGACTTTTTGTTAACCAGTCGAGTGATTTAAAGATATATCGGAGTGTGCTGATTATGATCAAGTGATAATACCATGACAAATAATTCCTAGCGGCCAGAAACGCTAGCTGACGTGACTGTCACCCTACCAGTACATTACTATTACTATGGCAGTGCACTCACAATGAGACTTTTCGTAACTCGGCCGGCGGACGCGCACGAAATAGACGTGTCTTGCATGCGGCTTTGCTTTTTTTATCGTTACGATGATGGCTTCTCCACTAGACGAAGACATTGATAACGAATTGCTAATAGAGGAGGTAGAGAAGAGACCAGCTTTATATAAATAAAAAAAATAAAGGAATACTCGGATACTAATATGAAAAGAGAGATTGTGGGACGAAATTATAATACACTTATTACCAACCAGAACGCTAACATAAGAAGAAAAGGATGTATGTAATAATTATAATAATATTTGTTGGGGAACTTGACTAGTTAAGCTATAAAAAGAAAAAAATGCATATCGGACGTCAGTGAGATTGACAGTAATGTGACAGTTAAATCAAACTAAATGTTGTGTTGCGAACAGTATTTATTGGATATTGTTTGCCTTACATAATTACTATAAATTTTTATGAATATAAGTATAGGTAGTTAAAAGTACATCTTTAACGGCCGGTCTCAATAACTTATCTGTCTCTTACTGGAAGTTAAAATGGCTACCATTGCTATCTATAGTTACATTTTTCTGTTTCAATAATCAAAGATAGATAGAAATATTTAACCATCACATTGATCTACCGTTCGGAGGACTTACTGATTACATGAGTTAAGTGGGTTAATAGATAAAAAAACATCTCACTGTTTCAACAACGTATTGGCAGTTAACTGGCGATAGTTCAAATTAACAGATGTTAGAGTTTTGTCTGTTTGTATAGACAAAATAGTCCAGCGTCGGTGGGAAAATTTAAGAGATTTGACGATAATGAGACACTTGGTGAAGATAGTTCTTCCATACCAACAGAAACACGTACACCACAAGAAGAAAAGAAAAATTGTGAGGAATCGTTGTTAGAAAAGTTAAAAGAAAAATGTTGCAACACACAAACAGATCCAGACATAATTTCGCTTTATCCTTGGTTCCAATGTTAAAATTATTTCCGCCAGATTAAAAAATTTATGCCTAAATTGCGACTTTGGACACCTTAAAATACTACACCTCATCATCGTCTTTTAATTATAATCCTACTCCTGCGTCATATAATATTCCCCAACCACAACCACTCCGTATACTGTTACAACAAATAATATCTCCACCCCAACAACAGCCACCTCGTATACTTTCACAAGAATATTTCAATTGCTCAGAAATACCATCTACATCTATCTACTCTAGTATAATTTGATTATGACTTCTCTCCCCCACAGACATTTGTCTCAAATTACTCTGTAGGTGATTCTGATATTTTTGTTTAAATAAATTAATGTAGTTTATGTTACTTACCTCAGTGTTACCACTAGCCTTTCTTCTACTGGAATACGTCTGCGAAATCTTGTCTTGAAACGTAAATAAAAGACCAACCAAAAGTAGCAAGTCATCAAAACTGTTCATTGCCATACGAAGAAAATCAAATAATTTTGAAGGTACTGACGTAGTTAAGGATTATACAGTGTAAAATTTTCCTTTAAACAATCTTTCAGTGCATATGGGATGCACCCAGTAGAGTTTTTTCCGTTTCGTTTTTCTTCTTCTATTTCAAGAATGAGTGTTTTATTGCTCAAGTGGGCGCATCTTGAGTGACAGTAAATAATAGTGACAAAGAAGTCACGGTGACAAAAATTACCAGTGCGCCTGTAGCCTTAAATACACCACGCCACCTTCTGATAACAGCTCAAAATAATAAAAAGCAACCCGTCTACCAAGCGTAGTAACTGTAATAGTATCTTCTTCTGATAATATCTTCGCTATGAGGCAACCTATGGGAAAGGCCTATGTTTAAAAGCAACTTTGATAGATTATAATGAAATTATTATTATTCAAATAAACTCTGACATAAAGTTTTAAAAGCAATAACATTCAAAATAATAATTTTTCTCGTTGAACAGAAAACGTGTGCATGATATGTTCATTTGAAACTATTTTCGAAAAATAGGAATGACAGTATACTGGACTACGTTCCGTTTTAAATAGTAACCAGTATAGCAAACTAAAGCGTGGTGTCGACTACAGCAGAAATGCGTCGAATCGAAGCGAGTCGCATTTATTCTTAGTGCGTCCATCTCTGAAGAATCGAATCGAATTGTTCATTCATCGCAAATTCTTCATCAAAATAGGCCGTTTTTGCGTCATGGACAGTTCGGATGAAGAGATGTTTTTATTTCATCGTGATAATGTGAATCTTCATGATTAAACAATTCTGGATATTGTTGGACCAGTGATATCAATAGTTCTTCATTCATTTTTATTGTAACAAAAAGATTTTTATGAAAACGAAATAGAAATTAGTTAAAATACGCTGGCGCGCATCCACTTTTCCGCGTCGACTGAGGCGTGCCGAGTTGAATCGAATCGCATCAGCGAAGAAATTCGCCTGTCAAACAATTCGCGCGGTCGATTCAATTCGGCGCGTCGCGGCTCGGCTCGATAATGGACTCGATAATGGACGCAGTATCATAGTAAATATATAGGTAGCGACTTTCTGCGATTCGATTCGACTCGGCTCGGCGAGCCTAGTGGACGCTTAGCCTAAAAAGGAACGGCTTCACAATATACTGAATTGGCGTCACACCTTACAGTGGTCACAGTATATATCGGAACAAACCCATAGAAGTGTTTGTGGTAATGTTGATGATGGTGGTGCAGGCTGCAGAACGAGAGCGAGGAACGCGAGCGGTGTGCAGGCGAAGCGGCGACGGCGAAGCGACGCGCGGCCGAGCTGGAGGCGCTGCTGCAGAGCGCGCGCGCCGAGCTGGCCGCCTGCCGCCAGCGCTGCGCCGACCTGGAGCACGCCTGCCACGCCCGCGACCAGGTACGACCCGCCTCTTAATGTGCACATACCTCGCCCACAGTATAAGAACATCACTCAGTCATCGCGTTTGATGTTGTCGGAAAAGCCGACATCGTCTAGTCTTTCGTCGTGACGAATAAAATTGCTGCGGTTGTCACAACAGAAGAAAAAAACAATAAACAGTTTTTTTTAATTTCACGTTTAAAAAATTATCAAATCATTGGTGTTCAGAAATAATAAAAATAGGTTATTATAAGCACAGTTGCAAAAAATAATAATTATAAAATATAGCCAACCGTCGTATATTTCCTTAGTTGCTTACTACGAGGGTGGATTGAAAAGTACTCGGCCTAACCAAGAAAATAAACAAATACTAAATCAGTTATATTTTTATTTTTCTACATAATCACCATCAAGTTCAATACACTTTTGCCACCTCCCCTTCCAAGCATTTAGACCGTTGAAAAAAAATGATTCTTCCTTAGAGTCAAAATATGCGTCTACAGCTGCTTTGACCTCGTCGTTTGTCGAAAATCTTTGACCTCCCAAGTGCTTTTTTAGGTTAGGGAACAGAAAGAAGTCTGATGGTGCCAGATCAGGTGAATACGCCGGATGCAGTAACAGTTCAAAGCCACAGTTGTGAATTTCAGCCATTGACTGTACTGACGTGTGAACACGGGCGTTATCTTGATGAAACAGGACTTTTCTTCTGAGCATTCCTCGACGTTTTTCTTTTATTTCCTCTCGTAAACGACGTAGTAAGGTGCAGTAGTAATCAGAGTTTATATTCTGATCCCTTTCAAGATAATCAATCATAATCACACCTTTCGAGTCCCAGAATACTGAAGCCATCACCTTATTTGCCGACAAAATCGACTTAGCCTTTTTAGGGGGTGGTGAACCAGGTCTTCTCCACTGTTTCGATTGTTGTTTTGTTTCCGGTGTACAGTAATGAACCCATGTTTCGTCCATAGTAACAAAACCATTCAAAAAATCATCTGCATCGGCTTCAAATAACTCCAAACAGTCGCGTGAAATAGTCAATCGCGTCCTTTTTTGTTCAACTGAAAGCAGTCGCGGAACCCACCTCGCAGACACCTTGTGGAAACCCAACTCGTTGACAATGATGTTTTGAGTTCGTTCATAAGAGATGCCTATAATCTCGGCTATCTCTCTAATTTTTAATCTGCGGTCTCCCATTATTAAATCAAGTACTTTTTTAATATTTTCGTCAGTAGTTGACGTCGAAGGCCTTCCAGAGCGGGGTTCATGTTTCACACTCTCTCTACCACGCTTAAATTCTGCTATCCATTTTTTGACGGATGAATATGACAGAGCACAATCGCCTAATGTACTGACCATGTCATCATGGATGACTTTTGATGATAGCCCCTTCTTATGGAGGTACTTAATGACGGCACGCTGCTCGATTTGCTCCATTCGCGGAAATTATGTCCGATTACTTTGTTAATAAATTTATAAAATCACAACTAATTATCGCACACGTTTCGAACTTCACACAATGAACTAGTCTGAACTGAACTAAATAATGTGGGTAGATTTGATTTTTAGAATTGAATGGATCTGTGTTAGGCCGAGTACTTTTCAATCCACCCTCGTATATCAAATTGGAATACAATATAAGCAGTTTATAACGTATCTTTGAGTGATAAAAACCTACTCAACACTTTTTATTTGAATACATGTTGAAATGTAAGTAGAAGCTTTCAAGGTGTATGTATACCCACAAGTTGTATAGACAAAGATGGTAGCACCCACAAAATTACGTCATTAAGATTATCGTCGAAATAAAATCTCAAATATTGCGATTTCTCCAATTTACGATGAGAGGACGGCAAAAAAATTAAAGTGTACAACTTTAATATCGGCCATATTTTGACGGACATTAGTTTTTTTCCAACTTATTTTAAGCATTCTTATTTAAACAGCTTATTTTAATTTAAAGCATTCTTTTAAACGGTATTAATAACTATTTTAGTTTTTAACCTAATCTAATTACCTTTCCTGTGTACGTGAACTGATGAAACTATAATTCCATATTGTTGAATGTTTTATATATCTTAAATATAATATTCACAATTGCTAATTGTATGTCCCCGAAGGAACTGGTATTACGTCTAGAAGATTGTCGTTCTAAGGAGAGGCGACTGGAAGAACTCAAACATAATTTGGAGGTGTGCCTCGCTGATGCCACTCAGCAGATACAGGAACTTAAGGTACGGTCATTAATAAATACTCGTGTTGCGAGGACTAACTATTCTCTACCTTTTTTGTTAAAAAGAGACACCTGGGCGTACCTCAGGGCTCTATTCTTGGTGCATTACTGTTTCATACATAATATATTCTACCATTCTTCATTCAAAATTATACTAACGTTGTTTTATATGTAGATACTTCACTCATATTTTAGGCCCAGAAATCTGAAACCTTGTTGAAGTAATTATTATAGTAACTAAGATTTAAGATTAGTTCTATGCGAATAAATAAGTATTGTATATTAAAAAAAGCATTAAAGATCAATGGCGCATTAAGCTGCTATTTTACGCGGACATTCTGTGAGAGCGTAGTCCTTCCCCGGTCGACCCGGCGAACCTCAATTTTTCAAAAAATTACAGGAGAGCAAGAAAACATTTATTATTCCTGGATTACTAGCTTCTTTTCATCAGAAAATTAATCTTATTTGTAGCTTTCTATATAACTATACTATTAATGTAGCTGTAGCATGGCTCTACCACGTATAATCACATCATACATAATTTAAAACTAAATTGACTAGTTGTTGTTGTTGTTACGATTCGACAACTAAGGCAGACAAAGGTCTTAACACCATACAGCCTAGTCTGTATTGTGTTACCCCATTGCTCCTGACACAAGCACTAGGGTTCCTATAAAGATATTTTGGTTCAGTGTTTGCCATAAAACATCCCCCTGTCCACTCTGTCATAAGCCTTTTCAAAGTCCACAATTTTTTTTTTGGTTTTTGGGCAAAAACTTTCCGCGATCATGTGTATGGAAAATACCGCTTGCATATTCACACCTTAGCATACAGTTTTCCCACAATGCTAAGCAGGCTGATGCCATGGTAGTTTTTACAGTCCTGCTGTGACCCTTTTCCCTTGTATATGCCTTTCTATAACGGTTTTGCACCAGTTTCCCGTTACATGCTTTAGTTTTCAGTATAAATTAAATAATGTGTACAGCAGGCCCCACCACCACTCGCTCTCCAGTACCTAGAATTTCGAGTGATACTCTATCATACCCGACTGCGTTACCTGCTTTCATGCTTTTCATTGCTTTCATTATTTAATCTATACTTATCTTACTGTTACTTTCCTCTTCTTTCGCAATTTCTAGTTAAGTTTATTCAAACGTCTCCTCAGTAATGAATAACACGCTATCAAAGTTACTCTTTAAACTCAAAACTTTGTCACTCAAAATATAGCCATTCTCGTCTTGTATAGCATTCATAATAGGCTTTTTAAATTTTCCCTGGCAGTTCTTACCGTATTTATCCGGGCTTTCTTGCATTTTCCTTCTAACTACTTTTTTTTTATAGGAGAGGGGGCAAACGAGCATGCTTTACTTCTTTTATGCTCTTATTTAGACGTCTACAGACTGCCTTTTTTCTTTCAATCTTATCATCGATACCGCCAGATTTGCTAGCTATAATTACTAGTAAATCTAGTAATAAGAAATTATAGTATATAATAATTTGTTTAAATATTTTTCACGATATGTCGATGACCATAATATTTCAACGCGCTGTAACAGACGCAAAAACATGAGGTTCACATTACCATCGGAACAAGTCTTTCATTGTTTCCACTAATAGACGACGCTCCCATCGCGGTTGCGTTCTGCATGTTGCCGCCGTGTTTGGCATTATAGGTCAGCCTATAAGGACGGGATGCGATCTTTTTTTTTTGCATACTACCCTTGAAGGCGAGTTTGCTTCTCGCCGGATGATCCCAGCGTTGTTGCTGATTCTGTCGCTGATATGGTGCTATAGGGAATGGAACTATTTATTCCATTATCTGTGGACCTATCGGAGGCAGAACCCAGCCATGGTTTGGTCGCTCCTGCAAAATTGCATTACGCCATAAGCAAGAGCGCTACCAGGCCCTGGGTTCACGCATCTAAGTCTCAGGATGCAAATACCAGCGCTCTTTAAAAGAACTATAATTCCGCCTCCAGGTCCTTCAAAACTGTCATTGTCAAGGCAAAGTCAGAGCACATCGGCTGAATTGGCGAGAAACTAGTTCGTCTTCCTTCGGGAACACGTGAATTCTGGTCTCTCGCCAAGGCTGTCCAAGAGAGTTTCTGTCAGCCATCTCTCCCATCTCTGCACAGGGAGGACGACTAACTGGCCCATACCGCAAAGGACAAAGCCGATCTGCTGGACTCTATTTGCGTCCAACTTGACTCTTGATGACGGGGGGAACACACCGCTGACCATCCCGATGTGAGTGCTCCATGCAGGATATGCTGTTTACCTAACGCTCGGTGCGCAGAGCACTCTTCTCCCTGGACGCCAACAAGTAGTGTGGGCCTGACGGCGTTCCTCCTATTGTGCACCGGTTTTAACGCGTCGTTTCCGGTACTCCTACTCCCTAGGCGTAGTCCCGAAATCATGGAAGACAGCTTTCGTGCACCCGATCCCTAAAAAAGTTAATCGCTCTGATCCGTCTAACTATAGGCGTATCGCCATCACTTACTTGTTCTCTAAAATAATGGAGTCCGTTATTAACAGCCAGCTCATGCGGTAGCTTGAGCCGATCGAAGGCCTTCGCTATGTTTCCCCCTTGGACTCTACTGCTCCTCCCATCTATGAGTTAGGTAACTCAGAAGATCACCAGCCGAGTGACCGCGACGGAAACCGTATTGACGGTCACTAATCACCTGCTGTTGCAGTTGTTCATGGGCGGCGGTAATCACTTACCATCAGGTGAGCCGTATGCTCGTTTGTCCCCCCTCTCCTATAAAAAAAGTTAATACACAAAATCGCACCACTTTTGCGTATCAAAACACACTTCCAACCATTATTCACACAATAATGTCGGAGCAGCTATCCACTGGCGGTTAAGTTCCCGCTAAAACCTCGTTAATGTTGTTACTTTGTAAAATAATGTCTTGTTTTTACCAGACCCGCCTATCGGCGTGCGAGAGTCGGTCGCGCGCGGTGGAGGCGTCCTTGTCGGAGAGCGAGGCGGCGCGGCGCGAGGCGGAGTCGCGGCTATCGTCTGTCGCACACACGCTGAGGCGCGTCTGCGGACTGCAGCCCGACGGCAGCGTGGCGCCCGCGCGCCGCCGCCTCGCCAGCCCCGTGCGCCGCTACAGCCCGCACAGAGGTACGGGTGCAGTGTGCAGTGTGCAGTGTGCAGTGTGCAGTGTGCAGTGTGCAGTGCAGCCCGCAGCCCGACGGCAGCGTGGCGCCCGCGCGCCGCCGCCTCGCCAGCCCCGTGCGCCGCTACAGCCCGCACAGAGGTACGGGTGCAGTGTGCAGTGTGCAGTGTGCAGTGTGCAGTGTGCAGTGTGCAGTGTGCAGTGCAGCCCGCAGCCCGACGGCAGCGTGGCGCCCGCGCGCCGCCGCCTCGCCAGCCCCGTGCGCCGCTACAGCCCGCACAGAGGTACGGGTGCAGTGTGCAGTGTGCAGTGTGCAGTGTGCAGTGTGCAGTGCAGCCCGCAGCCCGACGGCAGCGTGGCGCCCGCGCGCCGCCGCCTCGCCAGCCCCGTGCGCCGCTACAGCCCGCACAGAGGTACGGGTGCAGTGTGCAGTGTGCAGTGTGCAGTGTGCAGTGTGCAGTGTGCAGTGCAGCCCGCAGCCCGACGGCAGCGTGGCGCCCGCGCGCCGCCGCCTCGCCAGCCCCGTGCGCCGCTACAGCCCGCACAGAGGTACGGGTGCAGTGTGCAGTGTGCAGTGTGCAGTGTGCAGTGCAGCCCGCAGCCCGACGGCAGCGTGGCGCCCGCGCGCCGCCGCCTCGCCAGCCCCGTGCGCCGCTACAGCCCGCACAGAGGTACGGGTGCAGTGTGCAGTGTGCAGTGTGCAGTGTGCAGTGTGCAGTGTGCAGTGTGCAGTGCAGCCCGCAGCCCGACGGCAGCGTGGCGCCCGCGCGCCGCCGCCTCGCCAGCCCCGTGCGCCGCTACAGCCCGCACAGAGGTACGGGTGCAGTGTGCAGTGTGCAGTGTGCAGTGTGCAGTGTGCAGTGTGCAGTGCAGCCCGCAGCCCGACGGCAGCGTGGCGCCCGCGCGCCGCCGCCTCGCCAGCCCCGTGCGCCGCTACAGCCCGCACAGAGGTACGGGTGCAGTGTGCAGTGTGCAGTGTGCAGTGTGCAGTGTGCAGTGTGCAGTGCAGACCGCAGCCCGACGGCAGCGTGGCGCCCGCGCGCCGCCGCCTCGCCAGCCCCGTGCGCCGCTACAGCCCGCACAGAGGTACGGGTGCAGTGTGCAGTGTGCAGTGTGCAGTGTGCAGTGTGCAGTGTGCAGTGCAGCCCGCAGCCCGACGGCAGCGTGGCGCCCGCGCGCCGCCGCCTCGCCAGCCCCGTGCGCCGCTACAGCCCGCACAGAGGTACGGGTGCAGTGTGCAGTGTGCAGTGTGCAGTGTGCAGTGTGCAGTGTGCAGTGCAGCCCGCAGCCCGACGGCAGCGTGGCGCCCGCGCGCCGCCGCCTCGCCAGCCCCGTGCGCCGCTACAGCCCGCACAGAGGTACGGGTGCAGTGTGCAGTGTGCAGTGTGCAGTGTGCAGTGTGCAGTGTGCAGTGCAGCCCGCAGCCCGACGGCAGCGTGGCGCCCGCGCGCCGCCGCCTCGCCAGCCCCGTGCGCCGCTACAGCCCGCACAGAGGTACGGGTGCAGTGTGCAGTGTGCAGTGTGCAGTGTGCAGTGTGCAGTGTGCAGTGTGCAGTGTGCAGTGCAGCCCGCAGCCCGACGGCAGCGTGGCGCCCGCGCGCCGCCGCCTCGCCAGCCCCGTGCGCCGCTACAGCCCGCACAGAGGTACGGGTGCAGTGTGCAGTGTGCAGTGTGCAGTGTGCAGTGTGCAGTGTGCAGTGCAGCCCGCAGCCCGACGGCAGCGCGTACACATGAGGACGAAGATGGAATGCCTTACAGCCTGTAACTATACTGGCTCCCTGTCTCGCCAGCAACAAAAAGTCAGGCATTGCATTTAGAAAAAGCCAAAATTAGGGGATTTTTATGTTTTTTTTTTTATAGGAGAGGGGGCAAACGAGCATATGCGGCTCACCTGATGGTAAGTGACTATCGCCGCCCATGAACAACTGCAACACCAAGGAAACTAAGGGAATTGCAGATGCGTTGCCGCCATTTTATAAAGGAGTAGGCTCTTTTCTTGACGGTCCCTAAGTCGTATCGGTCCGGAAAAATCGCTGGTGTTAATCGATTCCAGAAGGAAGTTGTGCGAGAAAGAAAACATTTTCTAAATCGCACAGTGGTGGACCGCCAATCATCCAGATGGTGTGGATGGTATCGATAGTTCTGTTCCGATCTGCGTTCGTGAAATTTGGCGATTGAGATTAATCCAAACAATTCCTCAGAGCACTGCCCGTGGTAAATGCGAAAGAAAATGCAAAGGGATGCAACATCTCTTCGCAGCGCCAATGAATCGAGCCGATAGAAAGGGACTCGATCGTAGACGATTCGAGCCGCTCTGTGCTGGATGCGGTCAAGTGGAAGGAGTTGGCAATGGAGAGCCTCAGCCCAGAGATGGAAAACTCATAGATGGGCGGAGCAGTAGAGTTCAAGGGGGAAACATAGCGAAGGCGAAGGCCTTCGCTATGTTTCCCCCGCCGCTTGAGCTTGCGGTAGCTTGAGCCGATCGAAGGATCGGCTCAAGGTACCGCATGAGCTGGCTGCTAATAACGGACTCCATTAATTTAGAGAACAAGTAGGTGATGGCGATACGCCTATTGTTGGACCGATCAGAGCGGTTACCTTTCTTAGGGATCGGGTGCACAAAAGCTGTCTTCCATGATTTCGAGACTACGCCTAGGGAGTAGGAGTACCGGAAAAGACGCTTTAAAATCGGTGCACAATAGGAGGGACGCCATCAGGCCCACTCGACTTGTTGACGTCTAGAGAGAGGAGTGCTTTGCGCACCGTGCGTTAGGTAAACAGCACCTCCTCCATGGAGCACTCACACCGGGATGGTCAGCGGTGTGTTCCCCCCGTCATCAATAGTCAAGTTGGACGCAAATAGAGTCCAGCAGATCGGTTTTGTCCTTTGCGGCATGGGCCAGTGAGTCGTCCTCCCTGTGCAGAGATGGGAGAGATGGCTGACAGAAATTCCCTTGGACAGCCTTGGTGAGAGACGAGAATGCACAGGTTTCCGAAGGAAGGTGAACTAGTTTCTCGCCAATTCTGCTTATGTGCTCTGACTTTGCTTTGGCAATAACTCTTGAAGAACCTGGAGACGAAGTTATACTTCTTTTTAAGCATGCTGGTGGTTACATCCCGAGTCACTGAAGCCTCAGCCCAGGCCTGATAACACTCCTGCGTAATGCAGTCTTACAGGAGCGACCAAACCAAGGCTGAGATCTGCCTCCGATGGGTATTACATATGATGAAATAAATAGTTCCATTCCCTGTAGTACCACATCAGTGACAGAGTCAGCACCAGCGCTGGGATCATCCGGCGAGAAGCAAACCCGCACCCATGTGTAGGATGCAAAGAAAGACCGCATTCCGTTCCAATCCGCCGACCTGTAATGCCAAACACGGTGGCAACCTGCAGAACGCAACCGCGAGGGGAGCGTGAGTGGCACCACACTCCGGATTAGACAATGGTCCGAAGAGCCGAGAGGGGCATCGGTGGAAACCTGATATCCGTCCGGATGAGAGTTCAGCAGAAGGTCCAACAGGGAAGGTGTATGATCCTCCACATCTGGAATCCGCGTAGGCGAAGTAACCAGTTGTGTCAGACCATATGCCAAGGCAAAGTCATAAACAGATCTCCCCGCATGATCGGTTTAACGTGAACCGAGCCATTTGGCGAGGTGGGCGTTAAAATCTCCAAGGATCACGATATCTGCTGATGGGATTTGTTGTAGCAAGGAATCTGTAGCCATTTCGACGTGGTCGATGAGTCGGTCTGTTTCGGCATTACCGCTATGGGACCTATAGAGGCACCCATAGACGCGCGGATGGTCGTCGCTGTCTACCGAACAGTCCGAACCTTCAACAGGCGAGGCGTCGAGAACTCCTCTGTCCTCTCTAACGTATACGCAAACTCCAGCCCAAGGCACAAAGGAGTGCTCCAATTTGTACCCCGGGTAGGAGAGATACGAAGTATAAGCGGGAGAGGACACTTGCGTCTCGCTCCCAAAAGAGCAAGGTCTCGAGCCCTGATGTTGCAGAAATTCACGGATAGTGTGGCTGGAGTCGCCTTGGTCTTGTTGCTCAGTTTGCCCCGAGCAGGTATTGTTTTGAGCGGAATTTTGCCCCCCCCCCCTCCCCAAACTACTAAAACCGAATCAGAACGCCCCGACTCCACGTAGTCGAGTATGCCCTACCCCTAGTGTTTTTATAAAGCAGCCTCCACCCGCTATAGTGCCCTATATGGATGGTTGCCTGTGATTTGCTACACAAGGGCTACACTTCCTGCAGCGCCGAAGCCGTTACAGAAGATTTACTTAGAATTACTAGTGTCAAAATTCCTGTGTGAAAAGTGATTTTATGATTTTACAAAAATAAATTATTACTCATAAAATATACATTTACGCAAGGAGGGAAGGGTAGGGGGACTACCCTTCAAACCGGAACACAATAGTGATATTGCTTGGCGGCGAAAATATTTATGAAGGTACTACCTTACACCTTACCTACCCAGACAAACTACTCGACAGAAAAATAATCCAAACATTTAATACTGCTACGTCATATCGTGTGCAGTGTGCACTGTCACAATAGCGTCAAAGACATTTTATCTTCTGTTTTTTCGATAACCAATCGGCCTCCAATCGCGGCGGTGGTAAGTAAACCCTCTCTAGTCTCTACTTTGGAAGTAACCTCTCTACTTTACTAACAAAAAGTTAATGAATGCACATGTATTGGTTTTACCACAATTACATAAGTATCCTGCGGTTAATCTCATCCGAAATTTTTTAAATATAACAATCATAATTGTGAGAACCCATTTAATTGCACACTAAAATTTCATCCATGCACTAAATAAATATGAGCTTCTTTCATTTTAAGTAGATCAGTTACGATTTCAATTTAAACCTTAAAATATATTTTTATTGAAGGTCGCGATCATTCAGAAGACCGCAACGAGATCATAGACGTTGATCCTGAGCTCATCAAGAAGGGTGCTCGCAATTTGATGCACGAAGTCTGTCAGATAGAGCGAGAGAAGGTGAGAATTAATATATTGTCTAGCTGTCCCTCGCGGCAGTATGCTTGGAAATGTTCCCGTTGGATCGTAATGTTTTTTTTGTACGTAAATATCTTTTCGATGCACTCTGTGAACCCTACGACAACCACCATTAATTATGCTACAACATTATTTTTTATTTTTTAAGAACGAACATTATTTTAAAACTAATAAATACAACATATATAGGTGTAATGTAACTGTAATGTAATGTAGAATTACGACTCTTACTACAATAACAAAAGCATTGGTGACCTCTGTATATTTATTAATCTATAACACCAGGCTAGTATAGAATTAGAATTATTTAGTAGCCAAAGAGAAAAATTTGTTCCCGTAAAGCAACAGTTTCGTCTACTAGCAACACGACTCGCCCCGCACAAACGTTTTGGACGAAGGAGCGGTGCGATAGATAATTAAAAAAAATGCTTTATTTATTTATTACCAATAAAATACAATTAATTTTGAAAAAGTAATAAAACCAAATCATTCGATATTGTTTCGTAAAGAAGTATATAAAATTTCAAACAGTTTCGATAAAAATTGTAAGATGATGAAAAATAAGCGTGAATTGAGATATTTTTTTTATTTTAAAAACCACATAATTTCTCATATCTTGTAGATTACTGTGTATGTTTTTCCAATAAAATAACGCTACATTGTAAAAACTAGTTACAAAGTTACTCAGTTTACTTGCACTTACTGGGGACAAACCTCAAACTCGGGAGTTATTTTAAAGACTTCCGAAAAACGCTACTTTAAATCAATGTGTCGTTTACTTCAGGACGATTATAAAGCTCAAGTGCAGTCGCTCAAGAAACAATTAAAAGAGGCGACGGAACAGCACGGCAAGGGCGAAGGCAAGCTGCAGTCGCTGAGCAGCAACTTGCGCACTCTGCAGGAGGAACGCGCGCGGTTGCACAGTACCGTCGTGCAGAAGGACGCACAGTTTAACGCGCTGGTATGTAATTCGGGAGAGGGGGTATAAAGGGAAGGGAGGGGAGATACATATATGTTTTCGACAACTATTTAGTTCTTTTTTCCCACTTTTTGTATTTTTTATTGATTTGGCTTTGAGGAAAAGCTGGTGGTATACGTGGTATATATACTTTTTGATTTCCATACGCGAATACCTTTTAATAGCAATGTCGATCTTACATTTTGTAATTAGTGAAATGTGTCAATGTTGTAAGTGTTCCGAATAAAATTAAATACACTCGCTGTTACATTTACATAGATGATTCTATCCGAAAACCTATCTATTTATTATTTATTCTATCTCTTTAACACCTTACCTTCCTTCTGGGGCAGTCGGGTTAAAAAATATAGTAAAATAGTGTAGTAACATTTTAGCAACTATCTTGTTATAATAATTTATGCTACTTTACAGAACGAGTCAATACAATCAAAAACAGTGGAGATAAGCAACTTGAAAGACAAAATAACCAGTTTGGAAGTGACTTTGAGCTCTGTCACCGAAGAAAAAGTTCTAAATGAGGTATTTTAACTCCTTTCCTTAAAAAAAATGATAGTTTTTATTTTAGCTGACTTAAATTCATGACTCAAATCCTAGCGATAAGTTTTATGCTTATTGTTCAAAGCAACTTATTGAATTTGATAATTGGTATTTTGTTTACTTGCAGAATAAATCTGAGAGCTTAAGGGCGCAGCTAGCTGAACGTGTTCAAGAGATTGGTCAATTAAGAGAAGCATTAACAGCAGCTGAAGGTTAAAAAATATCTTTTCTATTAGTTAAGAGTACATATATTCATTAACAATGTTCAAATGAAATTTGCTTAGCTTATTAACTTTGGTCTGACTAATAAAGAAACTAAAAATATAGTAGTTGTTACTTAAGTCGTTGAAATACTTCTTAAATTGCACATGGACAAGTATCCAAACCAGAAACGAAATGTAGGCCATATAAACACTTGTTCCGTGTGGGGTTCGAGTCCGCGGCTCAGTAGCGTTGCAACCTAATTCTTAGCCGGTATACTAATCGATTCCAGGCAATCAGGGCATCCACGACTTTTTTTGCCACCAGGGTGGCGCCACTTAAATGTGAGGTATAATATATGACAGATTTTATAGCGGGGAAATTTATTCGGAAAATATAAAGGTCAACGTTTCTTTATTTACTACTAGTTATAATTTATATTAATTAGATTAAAAATAAATAAACCAAACCACAGATATTCATAAAAGTACAAAAAATACAGTTAAAATATACAAAAAATTAAGGAGCAAACCACTGAGGCATTGTTTTATGTATTAATTTATTACTCTAGAAACTCATAAACTTTTATTTAAGACTATCTTCTCAATTAAATGACATTAAATAACAAAAAAAAATTATCTCATTGTCAACTAGCGACATCTGGTGAGAGGAAAATTATTAGCCGTCATTAACTGTACGTTTATACTGTAGATACACAGTGGTTGATATTAAAAGACAACACCGCCTGTATTAAACCACAGACAATTTGTTGAATATCATTTGAGTAAAAATACAATATTAAACTTATACTCCACTTGTCAAATTTTTTTAACTTATGTTGTTGTAATGTTGGCAAAGAAGTTTGGCAGTACAGACAGATAATCGCATGTTCTGGGCTGTGTGCAGGATGGGTCACGAGCTCCGCCTTTTCGGAAGCCAAAAATGACTTTGTCTTGTTCGCGGTGTGCGCCGAAGCATTGTCATGGTGCAATAGGATGTGACTTATTGTTCGTTTTTCCTTAACTTTTTCAAAGACACTAGGCAAAAAAATGATGGTGTATCAGCATTAACTGTCTTTTGCTCATCAAACAGGATCGTGCCAACACGACTCGTCTTGGAGAAAAAAAAATGCAACCAATTCTTTTTACCCACGCTTGTTGCCTGCCTCAATTTTGTTGGTTTGCTGTTGCCTTCGAACACCCATACAGATGGCTGTTGCTTTCACAATAGCATTTGGACGTCCGTGATCATACTTTAACAAACAAATTTTACACTAATCAATTTGAGTCCGATTTTGTTCTGAGATGAGTCCATAAGAAATCCCCGCGGCTTCAAAATTTTTAAACTTCTGCATGTTGCCGTAAATTTTATTTTTTATTTTGGCTTATATCATACAACTTGTGATGAGAAACAATGAGGGCATCCACGACGTCACCAGGGTGGCGCCACTAAACGAGGTGTAATATTTGACAGATATCATAGCGGGGAAGTGAATTTGTTTGGAAAATGTAAAGGTTAATGTTTCTTTCTGTACTATTAGTTATATTTTATATTAATTGAAACAGAAAGTTTTTTGTTCAATATAGATTATAAATAATACTTATTGAAAGTTACTATTTTGTTTAATTACCACTGATTCGGAAAAATCTCTGTCCCGGGAAGAACAAGCAAGAAACCCAGCAGGACTTTAAAAGATAACAGTTTACAATCATGTATGTTACACAATTAACAACACAAAACAAATTAGAAATAGCTTGGTAGCGATCACCTCATTCCCAGGGGTTATTATCATCCATAAATTCATTAATATTATAATAACCCTTTTTATACAAACTTAGTTTAATAACGTTTTTGAACCTTGAACGCATCTGATTCAGTTACTTTGCCGTTAAGACTTAACTCTGGTAGTTTGGATTGCGAGAGTTAATCTTACCATTTTCGCTATTAATTATACTCCGTGTCATTTTGATTTTATTAGAAGCCGTCTAAATCTTGTTGAATGCAAAGACTTGGCCGTGGAGTTTACTGAGTTAAACACAACTTTCTCATATACTTGCTTTTTGTTAAACTAAGGTAACGAAGGTAATTGTCCACAGTGATCAGAACTCAGTTTTTGAAAGATACATTTATGCAACGGCTTAACATTTGTAAAAATGTTATCTATTAATTTTTACAAATGTTAAGCTTACTTTATACGTGGTAGAGCCATGCTGCAGCTATATTAGTAGTATAGTTGTAGCACGAATGGGTCGGCTCGACCGGGGAAGGACCACGCTCTCACAGAATACCAGCGTAAAATAGCAGCTCTTAACACTGCTGTTGTTTCGTATGGTGAGTGTAGAGAACCGGAGACCCTTTTTACTGGAAAAGAGGCATTCCATCATAGTCCTCACGAGTGACAACGCATCTGCATTTTGATTCACAAACGAGGATAAATGTAGATGTCTATAGGCCACAGCAACCACTTACTATCAGGTGGACTGTGTGCTCGTTTGTCCCCCTATACTGTACAAAAAAAAAAACATGTTGCACTAGATTCAGCAATATGCGTTGGCTCTAAAAATAAATTAAAAAGACAATGTGCTTTAAACGATCATCTAAATTTAATATTTGTGAAGGAAGCTTTTAGGAGATTGATATTAAAGTCTTAACAAAAACTTCCTCCATAATTTTTTCAAAAGTATCATATATACATAGAACATGGGAGTCTGTAGATGCTCACAACAATGAGGTGCTTAAACTCAACACATGCCATTTCAACAGTTCACAATATTTTTATGTTCTTTACATGATAATAATTTACTAGCTAACATTAAGGAACCACCTCTTAAAACCGTTTCTCTATTGAAAGAACTGACTGGTTATTACTGAAGTTAAACATTCAGTTATAAGCTTTTAACCAATTTTCAGTAATACATAAAATATAAATATTGTTGCTATTTAGGAACAATTTAATTTCTAGCTGCCTATCACGCCTTGTAAAATTTGATGCACCAGGCGTAAGCAATTTTTTATTATGACTTGTGGAATCATACAATTAAGGATTTTAAAACTACATTTTAAATTATTATAACTGCTATAGATTACCTCTATTGTCTTATTTTCTAATTTAAATTGCTTTAAACTGGTTCCGAATTGCATATTAAGTCATTATGCTGCTCAATAGAAGCAGATGTCTGGGTAGTCAAGTCCTTGGCTGAGTTAATATATAAACAATAAGAGAACGTTTGCCATCTGTCTTAAATTATATTTGAATAGGTAATACCTATCCCTAGTCAAAAATTTTTTGATTAAATTGTTTATGTCTATTAAATTAATTCTATTATTATGAAGACATTAGATTAAAAAGTAAATAAATCAAACAGATATTCATAAAAATATAAGAATTGAAAAAAGGAGTTAACCACGGCTACCTCCAGATTAAAAAATATTAATTTAGATAGGAACAAAAATTAAAATTAATAATTTTTAATCTGGAGGTAGCCGTGGTTAACTATGACATTGGGACGTCATACACCTCACCCTCTCCCCGTGACCACGGGTGCTGGAAAGTGCTCGAAACGTCGGGAATATATAATAAGTTAATATACGCGATAAAATCCGTAAAATTAGTTTTATTTAAATGTGTAATGTTCGCGTAAATATAAGAAATCATTATAAAAAAAAAAGAGTTCAATGTGCAGAAAATTAAAGAGCAAACCACTGAGACACAGTTTTGTATATTAGCCTAATATTCAAGAAACGAATTAATTTTTGTTAAAAACTAGCGACATCGGGCAAGCGGAAGATTATTACCTCCCATTAAGACGTGACTGCCAGCCAAAAAATATTTTATTCGATATATCTGTTTTTTTTTGTTTTACAAAATATAACATTTGAAATTCAAATATATACGAGCGGCCAGGAGCGCACAAGTTTGAGTGTGCCGTATGCAATATGTGTGCAGGACGCGCGGGGCGGCTGGAGGTGCGGCGCGCGCAGCTGGAGGGCGAGGTGCAGCGCGCCGCGGTGGCCGCGCGCGACCGCGACCAGGCGCTCAAGGTACCAGCCCCACGCTCTGTACTGGCTGTATACATATAGATAGCTGTACAGTTGTGTAGCCGTATAGTTGGGGCGGCTGGAGGTGCGGCGCGCGCAGCTGGAGGGCGACGTGCAGCGCGCCGCGGTGGCCGCGCGCGACCGCGACCAGGCGCTCAAGGTACCAGCCCCACGCTCTGTACTGGCTGTATACATATAGATAGCTGTACAGTTGTGTAGCCGTATAGTTGGGGCGGCTGGAGGTGCGGCGCGCGCAGCTGGAGGGCGACGTGCAGCGCGCCGCGGTGGCCGCGCGCGACCGCGACCAGGCGCTCAAGGTACCAGCCCCACGCTCTGTACTGGCTGTATACATATAGATAGCTGTACAGTTGTGTAGCCGTATAGTTGGGGCGGCTGGAGGTGCGGCGCGCGCAGCTGGAGGGCGACGTGCAGCGCGCCGCGGTGGCCGCGCGCGACCGCGACCAGGCGCTCAAGGTACCAGCCCCACGCTCTGTACTGGCTGTATACATATAGATAGCTGTACAGTTGTGTAGCCGTATAGTTGGGGCGGCTGGAGGTGCGGCGCGCGCAGCTGGAGGGCGACGTGCAGCGCGCCGCGGTGGCCGCGCGCGACCGCGACCAGGCGCTCAAGGTACCAGCCCCACGCTCTGTACTGGCTGTATACATATAGATAGCTGTACAGTTGTGTAGCCGTATAGTTGGGGCGGCTGGAGGTGCGGCGCGCGCAGCTGGAGGGCGACGTGCAGCGCGCCGCGGTGGCCGCGCGCGACCGCGACCAGGCGCTCAAGGTACCAGCCCCACGCTCTGTACTGGCTGTATACATATAGATAGCTGTACAGTTGTGTAGCCGTATAGTTGGGGCGGCTGGAGGTGCGGCGCGCGCAGCTGGAGGGCGACGTGCAGCGCGCCGCGGTGGCCGCGCGCGACCGCGACCAGGCGCTCAAGGTACCAGCCCCACGCTCTGTACTGGCTGTATACATATAGATAGCTGTACAGTTGTGTAGCCGTATAGTTGGGGCGGCTGGAGGTGCGGCGCGCGCAGCTGGAGGGCGACGTGCAGCGCGCCGCGGTGGCCGCGCGCGACCGCGACCAGGCGCTCAAGGTACCAGCCCCACGCTCTGTACTGGCTGTATACATATAGATAGCTGTACAGTTGTGTAGCCGTATAGTTGGGGCGGCTGGAGGTGCGGCGCGCGCAGCTGGAGGGCGACGTGCAGCGCGCCGCGGTGGCCGCGCGCGACCGCGACCAGGCGCTCAAGGTACCAGCCCCACGCTCTGTACTGGCTGTATACATATAGATAGCTGTACAGTTGTGTAGCCGTATAGTTGGGGCGGCTGGAGGTGCGGCGCGCGCAGCTGGAGGGCGACGTGCAGCGCGCCGCGGTGGCCGCGCGCGACCGCGACCAGGCGCTCAAGGTACCAGCCCCACGCTCTGTACTGGCTGTATACATATAGATAGCTGTACAGTTGTGTAGCCGTATAGTTGGGGCGGCTGGAGGTGCGGCGCGCGCAGCTGGAGGGCGACGTGCAGCGCGCCGCGGTGGCCGCGCGCGACCGCGACCAGGCGCTCAAGGTACCAGCCCCACGCTCTGTACTGGCTGTATACATATAGATAGCTGTACAGTTGTGTAGCCGTATAGTTGGGGCGGCTGGAGGTGCGGCGCGCGCAGCTGGAGGGCGAGGTGCAGCGCGCCGCGGTGGCCGCGCGCGACCGCGACCAGGCGCTCAAGGTACCAGCCCCACGCTCTGTACTGGCTGTATACATATAGATAGCTGTACAGTTGTGTAGCCGTATAGTTGGGGCGGCTGGAGGTGCGGCGCGCGCAGCTGGAGGGCGACGTGCAGCGCGCCGCGGTGGCCGCGCGCGACCGCGACCAGGCGCTCAAGGTACCAGCCCCACGCTCTGTACTGGCTGTATACATATAGATAGCTGTACAGTTGTGTAGCCGTATAGTTGGGGCGGCTGGAGGTGCGGCGCGCGCAGCTGGAGGGCGACGTGCAGCGCGCCGCGGTGGCCGCGCGCGACCGCGACCAGGCGCTCAAGGTACCAGCCCCACGCTCTGTACTGGCTGTATACATATAGATAGCTGTACAGTTGTGTAGCCGTATAGTTGGGGCGGCTGGAGGTGCGGCGCGCGCAGCTGGAGGGCGACGTGCAGCGCGCCGCGGTGGCCGCGCGCGACCGCGACCAGGCGCTCAAGGTACCAGCCCCACGCTCTGTACTGGCTGTATACATATAGATAGCTGTACAGTTGTGTAGCCGTATAGTTGGGGCGGCTGGAGGTGCGGCGCGCGCAGCTGGAGGGCGACGTGCAGCGCGCCGCGGTGGCCGCGCGCGACCGCGACCAGGCGCTCAAGGTACCAGCCCCACGCTCTGTACTGGCTGTATACATATAGATAGCTGTACAGTTGTGTAGCCGTATAGTTGGGGCGGCTGGAGGTGCGGCGCGCGCAGCTGGAGGGCGACGTGCAGCGCGCCGCGGTGGCCGCGCGCGACCGCGACCAGGCGCTCAAGGTACCAGCCCCACGCTCTGTACTGGCTGTATACATATAGATAGCTGTACAGTTGTGTAGCCGTATAGTTGGGGCGGCTGGAGGTGCGGCGCGCGCAGCTGGAGGGCGACGTGCAGCGCGCCGCGGTGGCCGCGCGCGACCGCGACCAGGCGCTCAAGGTACCAGCCCCACGCTCTGTACTGGCTGTATACATATAGATAGCTGTACAGTTGTGTAGCCGTATAGTTGGGGCGGCTGGAGGTGCGGCGCGCGCAGCTGGAGGGCGACGTGCAGCGCGCCGCGGTGGCCGCGCGCGACCGCGACCAGGCGCTCAAGGTACCAGCCCCACGCTCTGTACTGGCTGTATACATATAGATAGCTGTACAGTTGTGTAGCCGTATAGTTGGGGCGGCTGGAGGTGCGGCGCGCGCAGCTGGAGGGCGACGTGCAGCGCGCCGCGGTGGCCGCGCGCGACCGCGACCAGGCGCTCAAGGTACCAGCCCCACGCTCTGTACTGGCTGTATACATATAGATAGCTGTACAGTTGTGTAGCCGTATAGTTGGGGCGGCTGGAGGTGCGGCGCGCGCAGCTGGAGGGCGACGTGCAGCGCGCCGCGGTGGCCGCGCGCGACCGCGACCAGGCGCTCAAGGTACCAGCCCCACGCTCTGTACTGGCTGTATACATATAGATAGCTGTACAGTTGTGTAGCCGTATAGTTGGGGCGGCTGGAGGTGCGGCGCGCGCAGCTGGAGGGCGACGTGCAGCGCGCCGCGGTGGCCGCGCGCGACCGCGACCAGGCGCTCAAGGTACCAGCCCCACGCTCTGTACTGGCTGTATACATATAGATAGCTGTACAGTTGTGTAGCCGTATAGTTGGGGCGGCTGGAGGTGCGGCGCGCGCAGCTGGAGGGCGACGTGCAGCGCGCCGCGGTGGCCGCGCGCGACCGCGACCAGGCGCTCAAGGTACCAGCCCCACGCTCTGTACTGGCTGTATACATATAGATAGCTGTACAGTTGTGTAGCCGTATAGTTGGGGCGGCTGGAGGTGCGGCGCGCGCAGCTGGAGGGCGACGTGCAGCGCGCCGCGGTGGCCGCGCGCGACCGCGACCAGGCGCTCAAGGTACCAGCCCCACGCTCTGTACTGGCTGTATACATATAGATAGCTGTACAGTTGTGTAGCCGTATAGTTGGGGCGGCTGGAGGTGCGGCGCGCGCAGCTGGAGGGCGACGTGCAGCGCGCCGCGGTGGCCGCGCGCGACCGCGACCAGGCGCTCAAGGTACCAGCCCCACGCTCTGTACTAGCAACATAGACATAGATAGCTGTACAGTTGTATAGCCGTATAGTGTGGTCGGCTGGAGGTGCGGCGCGCGCAGCTGGAGGAAAACAGTTTAACAACTTAAAATAGCAGCTCAGTGACACTCGGAGATCAATTTTACTGAAAACGAGACATTCAATCTTAGTTCTCATGGATGACAACGCATCTGCATTTTGATTCTTAATCGAGGATAAATGTAGATGTCTATAGGTCACAGCATGTACCTACCATCAGATGGACTGTGTGCTCGTTTGTCACCCTTATCCTATAAAAAAGTTACATAGGCGTGTAGTTGAAGAGCTTTGTATCTGTATCGCTGTAATATATATCATAATAACATAGCTGTAAACAACTGCTATTTATTGATGATTGTGTGAACTACGCAGGTTGGAGAGTTTATATGTGTCATGGTTTTCGTGTTTCAGAAACTTCAAGATCGTTGCGAAGGCTATCAGCGAACGATATCATCACTTGAAGACCGTTGCACTTCCCTCAAAGGCACCGTGGAACAACTATCGACATCGCTGCAGAAGGCCGCCACCGCTGAAAGTGAGCTTAGGGCGGAACTAAGTAAGATACAACGAATGCTCAACGAGGCCAAGAATAACGAGCAAAACGCATTGGAAAAACTCAGACAAATACAGAAGAATGTTGGTAAGTGTTGTAATAGCAGTGTTATTGGCGGTAGGAAAACTTCTTGGAATTTTCGAAAAATCAGTTATAAGAATTTACACAGTTATGAACGTTATGATAGTTTGGTTTTATGTCGACGATCTAATCATAGGTTGTTGATGAAAATCCGGCTTTCCGGCACTCTCTCAATCGTTTCCTTTATTTCTTGACTTACACTTGTAATTAAGTGGATAAAACTATTGTAATTTTAATAATTAATTGATAATTCTTTAACAGCCAACTGCGAAAACGAACGGCGAGTACTATCAGAAAAATTAGAAAGTGCAAAGACCGCTTTGAGTGAACTGAAGCGGTTGAATGCTACTCTGGAGGACCAAGTGCACAGGTTGACTAATCAGCTGGCGAATGTAGAAGTACAGAGGTATGTAAAAAAATTAATGAGTAGCTCTTTTAGTGAGTTTTTGCCATTTGATCAATCAGTTTTGATCGAAAAAATATGTAAAACAAGTTTAGATATTATTAAAACATTTCTAAAAATGTTATGCAATTATTCAAACTATATTTGCAATAACATTTCTTTTCTTTTTGATGTCTATTATCACCTATAGGCCTAATTCTACTGGCGAGACTGCTTGGCTAGGTATCTTTCGTCATCTGTAAATGCAAATGTACGCTGACAATAACTATACTGCGATGTCCTTTACATGCACACGAAATTTTAATTTCTTACTTCAAGAAGTAAATTTTTGTCTCGCCAGCAACGCAAAGTCAGGAATTTGTGTGGTGAAAATTTTAAAGCACATAATTTTTAAACTTGGCATGTAATTAGCACCTGAAAATTCTCTAATTTTGGCATTTTCCAAATGTAAATTCCTGACTTTGCGTTGCTGGCGAAACATTTAATTTACTTAAGTTCATTTCATATTCGTGATTTAAAATTTTTGTTGAGATTAATGCAGAATACGCTTATTTATTTAAACCTTTATTGTTTGCCTATTGCCACATTTATTAGAAAAGAAAGCTGGATGATGATGATGAATAAACATATAACAATATTGGTGCACTCAGATCGAGTCTAGAGTCGCAGCTGCGCGTGTCTCAATGGGAGGGCAAGGGGGTGGGTGTGAGCGGCGCGGGCGGCGCGGGCGCGAGCTCGGGCACGGGCGAGGCGGAGGGCGAGCTGCACGCGCTGCAGCGCGAGCGCGCCGAGCTGCGCGCGCAGAACGACGCGCTGCGCGACGCCGTGCGCCGCCTGCAGCGCACGCACCTGCACCACGTCGCGCTCGCACCGCCCGTGCGCAGCAAGAGCCACGACCGCGACAAGCCGCCCTACTACTGTGATATTGACTCGGGTCAGTGTTACGTCGCTTTAAAAAGTCACTGCTTCGTTGTTTACAGCGCATGCACACGCAGTAGGCCACGCCCGTGTGCAGCATGAGCCACGACCGCGACAAGTCCTACTCAACAAGTCAATAATTAAACCGTTGTTTAAGAAAGGTGAAAAATATGACGCTAATAATTACAGAGCCATTGCATTAATATCAATATTTCCAAAATATTAGAAGTGTATATTTTTGCGCCTTATAGAATATTGTAATGAGATTACCATCATCGAATCACAACAATTTGGTTTTCAAAAAAACAAATTACTACTTTGGCCACTTATACATTAATTAAATCAAACTTATTAAATATAAATAATTCATATCTAATTATTGTATTGTTTTTTTGATCTAAGTAAGGCGTTAACTATAAAACTGTTCTTAAAAAACTGGAAAATATGGGCATTCGAGAGATTACTTTTCAGTGGCTCGAGTCTTAATTGACAAATAGAAAACAAAAAGTTGAAATCAAAAACCACAATAACCATAATAAACTGACTTCTTATCATTCACATTTTAAGAACATCAATTTTAGCGTCTCACAAGGATGCATTCTTGGCCCTTGCTTTTTATTTTATGTATAAAATGACAGTTGAAATATAAATAAATTTAAATGTATTTCATTTTTGTAGACGATATTGCAATAACAATTAGTACCAACCCTAGCAAACATTCATTCACAAAACATGAATCTGACATAAATGACACAATAAAATCAATAATAAAATGGTTAAATCTAAATACATAATTTAAAAGTTACTCTTACCAAAACTCTTTGTTTTAAATATGACGATTTGAAAATAAATAAGCTTGACATATATCACAGTGCAACCAAAATTGAAGAAATGAGGTAAACAAAATTTCTTAGCTTAGTAATTGATAAAAACCTTAATTGGGAGTCTCATATTAAATCAGTGTGCGATAGATTAAATAAAGTATATGTTTTAAAGTATATTAGAAAAGTCACTAACATAAATACAGCCCTGTCGGATTATCATGCTTATGTAGTTTCGATTCTGCGTTACGTGTAAATTATCTGGGAAAAGCTTAAGTTAATGCCATTTACATTACATTGCTCTCGTTCTACATATTATATGAAATATGCTTATTCGTCTAACGACACAACTGTTTATTAAAGCAAAAGATTTTTTTTTATCGAAGGCACATATATGTGTGCCAAAATATATAATAAAATTCCTCAGCGTATTAAAGCACTACAGTTCTCAAGATTTAAAAATGGCAGAAAGTAGTCCTTATAGCGTCTAAGAATTTCTAAATTATAAATTTAATAAATGAACTGTAATCTCACTCCCATCGATTGTCGGTTCTTCGAGCTATATGGCCGGCCCATTGCCACTTCAGCTTACTAATCCGTTGGGCTATATCGGTTACTCTGGTTCTACTGCGGATATCCTCATTCCTAAGTATATCACGCAGAGAAACTCCGAGCATAGCCCTCTCCATAGCTCGCTGAGCGACCTTGAGCTTCCTCATCCGGCCAGCAGTGAAGGACCACGTCTCTGTTCCGTATGTCATCACTGGCAACACGCACTGGGTGTACAGTCTCGTTTTCAAGGTTTGAGGTATACCTGACGAGAAGATGTGCCGTAATTTCCCGAACGCTGCCCAACCGAGTTGAATCCGTCGATTGACCTCTCGGTCAAAGTTGGACTTACCTAATCGGACTATTTATCCCAGGTAAACATACTCGTCAACAACTTCGAGCTTAGTGTTCCCAACAACTACCGGCATAGGTGTGACATGGACATTAAACATGATCTTTGTTTTGTCCATGTTCATCTTAAGACCTATCCGTTGGGAAACACTATTGAGGTCATTGATCATAGTGCTTAGGTCCGCCAGCGATTCTGCCATAAGGACTATATCGTCGGCAAACCGAAGGTGAGTGATGTACTCGCCATTGATGTTGATACCGTATCCTTTCCAGTCCAGAAGCTTGAAAACGTCTTCCAATGCAGCGGTGAAGAGTTTCGGGGATATGACGTCACCCTGTTTTACACCTCTCTGCAATTGGATAGGTTTCGTACTCTGGTTCTGTACTCGGATAGCCATCGTAGCCCTACTGTACAAGCACTTCAACACTTCGATATACCGACAGTCAACTTGGCACCGCTGAAGGGACTGCAGCACCGCCCAAATTTCGACGGAATCAAAGGCTTTCTCATAGTCCACATACGCCAGACATAGTGGCAAATTGTACTCTTCGGACTTCTGTACAATTTGCCGAAGGGTATGTATGTGGTCTATGGTGCTAAAGCCCTTTCGGAAACCGGCTTGTTCGGGAAGAAAGGTTCTCGAGTGGCAGCCTCGTACCGGTAGGCGAAGTGTAGGGCGTCCCCCCACGAGATGGAGTGACGACCTGGTAAGACATGCAGGAAGTCGATGGATGCAGGTGTCTCAGGACCGTGCTTTGTGGCATTCTTTGGGGGAGGCCTATGTTCAGCAGTGGACTTGTGAAGGGCTGTAATGATGATGATGATGATGATGATGAATCTCACTCTACTAATCATTGACATTTTTATTCTATTTTATAATAATTAATAATTATCTAATGAGTAATTACAATTAATTATACAAATTCTCCTTTCAATGCATCTCTCAAAATTTTGTAATTAATAACTTAAAAAAATGAGAAACTAAATTAGCCAATGAATTAAATTTGATATTTGTATGCCTTTATATTAGCGGTGAAACATGTTTGGCTTAAAATGTATGTAATTAACACCAGTATTTGCCATGTTTGATGCAAATAAGTTTTGAATCTTTGCTACTGCGATATTGACTCGGGTGAGTGCTACTTGGCTTCCGAAGCTACTTGCTCCGGGCCACTTTTGACGTCTATAAGTTTGCTTCCATAGTGAGAGGCAATTCAGAAAACTGATGATAATAAAAGCAGGGGATACAGTTTTCCGTTACAGCTACATATCTATCCAAATCCATCTACATCATAAATTTAATTACACCACTCAATAGCTAAAGGATAATTTTAAACGTTGTGTGAGGCGCGCGTCGGAAGGTCCAGTGCCGCCATTGGTCGTTACACGTTTACGTATTCAGCTAAAACACACGGTCGTATCCAGACACGGCTACACCCCAATTTTTTTGCGAAGAATTTTCTTCCTGGTTCTTCCCAAGACAGAAATACTTTCCGAACCAGTGGTAAATTAAAAAAAATACTCATTTAGACACAAAATAGAAAATTATTCTATCTATTCTTCGGAACATAAATGTTTTGCTTCAACGAGGATTCGGATGTTTATTACCTCGGTATAATATATGTTTTAGACATTTTCGAAGCAGAAGCTTTAGATTCGGGATTCTTTACCTCGGAAATTCAAACCCATTACATTGCGCTTTGTCTTGGTAGACTCCTTTCACTCATCTTAGTTCAGCGTTTAAACTTAACAACTATACATATTAATCAATACACTGTTTTTATCTCTATTTTATTTTTAGAATCACTAACATAACAGCCTATACAGGGTTATTTAACAATATAGGGCCAAATTTCCAAGGAAGGCTCTAAGTAATATAAGCGAATGGTGAAGAAACATTAAAAATCCCAAACATTGTGTCCTTTTTATATCTTAAATTCTAAATGCGTGATAAAGCATTATTTTAACTGATTGCCATTCGTAAATATCTAACACCTACTATTTTACTACACACGCACTCATTCGTAAGGGTCGCTCGGTTACAAAATTTAGGTACCTTGTCGCACGTCTTCAGGCGCTCTTCCCGTCCGTTAACCGTTACACCGCTAGGACGAAAATTAGGTGACAATACGTTTTTTAACCATGACTCACTAAAAATTTATTTATTTACTGAACTAAAATATTAGTTATTGGATTTTCGACTGCAATCAATAGCACAGTACCTAAAGAACTACCTACGTATGTCTAGTCCTGTATACTTTATGGTGAAGATTTCCACCATTTTCGAAATATTCCTATTATCAGTTAATGCAGTGACATAAGTCTTTTTTTTTTCTAATTTTTGTCAGAACTAGTAAAACCTAGGGCCTATCACCCCGTAGGTACCAGCTTGACGTTAAGTTTCGGGACAGCCTATATTTTATAAACATTTCATAAAAAATATTAAAATAGAAAAGCGACCTCGTTTAGAGATACTAAATGTACCCAAAAATTATACAATGTATTCATTTATTATTAATTAAACTTTCTAATTACACAAAAATAATACACAATCTTTGTTACAAATTTGTCCACCACTGAATTAACATTCGTACATTTTTTATGGAAAATCTCTAAAGTCCATAATAGATTTAATTGCACCTCATCTTGCTATTATTTTTAATACTTGTATCGATTCTGGTGTGTTTCCTGATTTAATGAAGTATAGTAAAGTAATACCTTTATTTAAATCTGGTAGTACATTGGACCCCGCTAATTATAGACCTATTTCTGTACTACCAACTCTCAGTAAAATTTTTGAAAAAATAATTTTGGATCAATTGTTAATTTTTTTTAATACAAATAAATTACTTCATAAAAATCAATTTGGTTTTACAAGGGGTCGCTCGACGTCTGACGCCGGTGTTGAGCTTATGAAATATATTTTTAATGCCTGGGAGAATTCACAAGATGCCTTAGGTATTTTCTGTGACCTTTCCAAGGCTTTCGATTGTGTTCATCATGATACATTAATCAGGAAACTACAACATTACGGTGTAAAAAATTTTAAACTTATTACTTCATATTTAAGTAACAGAACTCAAAAAGTCGTCATTAATGGTAATAAATGTTCCTCCGGATCAGTAGTATCAATGGGCGTTCCTCAGGGCTCGATTCTTGGCCCATTCCTGTTCTTAATCTATATTAATGACTTACCTTATCTTGTAGGGGACAATCACGATATAGTATTATTTGCTGACGATACCTCTTTAATTTTCAAACTGAAACGGCAGTCAATTAAATATGACGATGTAAATAATGCTCTATCGAAACTAGTACATTGGTTTAACGCCAACAATTTGCTCTTAAACGGCAATAAGACAAAATGTATTAAATTTACAATACCTAATGTAAAACATTCGAAAACCAATGTGCTCTTAAATGGGGAGGAGTTGAGTCTTGTGGATACCACTGTTTTTCTCGGTATTACTATTGACGCGAAACTTCAATGGGGCCCCCATATATCTAAATTAGCAAGCAGACTTAGTTCTGCAGCATATGCTGTAAGAAAGATTAGAAGTCTCACAGATGTTGAGACAGCTAGGTTAGTGTATTTTAGTTACTTTCATAGCGTAATGTCTTATGGAATTTTGCTATGGGGTAATGCGACTGATATTGAAGCTATATTTGTTTTGCAAAAGAGAGCCGTACGGGCGATTTATAATCTAAATTGTAAAGAGTCCCTTAGAGAAAAATTTAAAGAAATAAACATATTAACTTTGGCATCGCAATATATTTATGAAAATGTAATGTATGTACATAAAAACATAAATAGCTTTAATAAGAATAAGGATGTTCATACCTTAAACACTAGGAACAAACATAAGCTTGTAATGCCACTTACAAGACTCCACAGAATTAGTAATTCATTTATGGGGCAATGTATACGCTTTTACAACAGAATCCCAGAACATGTTCAAAGTTTGTCAATAAACAAGTTTAAAAGTTTTATTAAAGAAAACTGTACAAAAAGGGTTATTATAATATCAAGGAATACATGAATGAAAATAACCCCTGGGAATAAGGTGATCGCCACCATGCTGGTTCTATGAAAATTTATTTAAAATTGTATAAACAAAATTATTGTTAAGTGAAATTATGTTTAAAAAAAAAGTCCCGCTGGGTTTCTTGCTGGTTCTTCCCAGGACAGAGGTATTTTCCGAACCAGTGGTAAATAAAATAATGACTTTCAATAAGTATTATGTAATAATCCATATTGAATAAAAATCATTCTATTCTATTCTATTCTAGGTCCGGATTCAACGAAGGACTCCATCCGTGAACTTAAAGAAAAATGCACCTGTAGGGGTAGAGGTTTCAACGCGGAACTGAGTCTCATTGAGCTGGAGAACCGAGAGCTGCGGATGAAAATCAGGCGTTTAGAGAAAGAACTTGCTGATAAGGTACGATGTAATATTAAAATGAAAATATTAACTTTTTATTAATAGAATAAGGATGACAAACGACCACACAGTCTACTTGATGGTGAGTGGCTACTGTGGCCCATAGACATCTACATTTATCCTCGCTTAAGAATCATAATGCAGATGCATTGTCACCTCTGAGGACTAAGATGGAATGCCGCTTATCCAGTTAAAAGGGTCTCCGGTTCATACGCTGTGTTCGTATGATGTTATTTTACACGGGTATTCTGGAGAGCGTGGTCCTTCCCCAGTCGAGCTGTCCCATTCGTGCTACAACCATAATATAACTGCAGCATGGCTCTACCGTGGCAAGAACTATTTATAATATGGCGATTTTAAATAAAATCTACGAAATTTCCTCTAGGTTCCTCTGAATAGAGCAAAAATGTCTAGAGAAATTTAATAGGAATTTTTATGCTTTTATTTTACTGTGAGCATATCTATACTAATAAAGTGAAGAGCTGCAGTAATATATAGCTTTAAATTTTATACTACATTTGTATTACCAGTCCAATCCCCATAAGCACTGATGAAATTGTTTCTGTCAATTTCAATTTTATAAAATACATAAGAAGCTGAGTTCTTAAAATGTATTTTAACAGTCACCTACTGCTTTACATTTACATTCTATGATTAATGCATTTGCATTACTTCAATATTTTGCACTAGTTGGTAGCCATGACTTCGTTCACGTTGCTTACACACATAACTGAACGTAGTGCTTATAAAAAATCGTTGTTTCTTAAAACTTTAATAACTTTAAATTAAATGAACATATCGCAGTAATTTATTTTAAATAAGGGCCAAGTATTTAAAAAATAAAATTTAGTAAACCTAATTGAAATCTATAAAGTAGTTTTTCCGTGATGCGCGCAACTCCAAACCTCTTTTTTTTGTATATAGAAGAAGACAGATAGAAGCTCCATTATCTAACGATACGCATAGCCATTTTGTGTTCGCATATCTTTACCATTGTTATTTTGTATGTTGTGCGGCTTCAAAAATGTTCAGTTCGACATCACTTTCCTACGGCGAAGGTTTCCTTTACGCAGCCACTACACGGCGTAGTGCCGTGCTAAGTAACAAGTATATTCTTAAATTTCAGGAAGCCGAGCTATCAGTAGCACGGAGTCGATTCCTCAGTGAGCTGTCTTCAGACGGACCGTCCCGTCGTGAAGATGTGGAGCACTACAGGCAGGCGGCCATGCAGGCTGAACGACTGCTTGAAGCGAGGGAGGCCAGCCATCGCCAGCAAATTGTTCGCCTCGAGAACCAGGTATGAGTTACAATATAGTATTAATATTGCGCCAGGCGTACTATTGGAAGACGTAAGATAAAGTAGACTGCAGATATATATTAGATTTTTAAGAAGCTGGGGCGTGAAACCGCTTTTTAACTTTTCTAAGCTATTGCTTGACTACTATCCCACGTGATGGTAAGCAGCCGACGATGGTAAAGAGCAGTGACTTTTAGTTTAACAAAAGACTCCACTCTTTTCTTAAAGACACTCGCATTGCGATCGGATAAAAAGGCAGATACTGACAACTTATTCCATTTTTTGCTGTCCGCGTGATGAACGATGAAGCAAACCGTTCAGTTCTATTACGTGGTAAGTTGACAACGAAGCGGTGGAGACTGGTCGAGCGTATAGTTGTCCGATGGATGAAGGGAGAGGGAGGAATCAAGTGAACAAACATAACACTTCGTAACATTGATATCTAATTTTTGCCTAACAATCCTCAACCCACAATAATCTTTTATGGGACTTAAAATCTTCATGAAATATAGTCTATAAAAACTGAAAACGGCAACGGACTGAGTAAGGATCCCTGCGGAATGCCAGAAGCTATAAACATAGCTTTAGAGAAATAGTCATTGAGAATAACAATTTGAATTTAATCTCTTATTTCGACCATAAGTTTCGCAGCCGTATAACATGATCTATCTTATCAAACGCCTTGCTGTGATCACTACAGACAATAAGATTCGACGTGGTGGAACGATAAAAACCCATGTTGTTCTTCACTAAATGTATTGTTTTAATGGGGCGTATAATAGTTTATATACAATCTTTTCCAAGACTTAGCAAACAAACAAACCTTAAATAGGTTTATAATTTACGATCACGTCTTTTGGTCCCTTTTTGTGGATTGGTGTATTAAATGCTGTTTTCTAATTAGCAGCAACTATAAACCGTCATAAAGAGAATGCTCATAATATAACAAAAATAAGGGAGCAGTAAGACTTGGCCACTTCATAATTAATAGGGGGGAGTGTAATCGGGTTCCGCAGATTTATTTACATGGATCGTTTTTAGTATATTGTATATTTCAGACTCCTGCATTTTCTGTCCTTAATGGAATATCGTCATGTTTATGCTGTAGAAAATTAGAGTGAAAGTAATTATAATTAATAGAATCAGGCGTTACTTTGCGGAAATCCATTATATAAAAGCTTTTAGAAAAATTTACTTCGCAAATACCGCTAAGTGAACTTAGCTTAGCGGTTAGCCACCGTAGAGTCTATATCACCTGAGGATGCCTCGTGTAGAGGCGAAACACGTGTCGTATTATCGTCAGTGGTGTGTCTTGCTTAGTGTAGTGGTGTTGGGAGTAGCGGTGCTGGGATTAGTGGTGACGGGGATAGGGCGGGAGGTGTTATTCATACTAGGTAAGAATAACGCGGATATTTGCGAAGTAAATTTTTCTAAAAGCTTTTATGAAAGTTGTTACGGCCTACGGCTGCTCCCTTAAAGGTCAAATCCTCAGGAGCCCATTCAGCTAAGTTTCGACGAGCAGACGTAGGTCGGGCCTCCTCCAGGCCAAAGTGGAAAATCTCTAATTACACTAAACTATATGGGGGAGCGTTCTATACTTTGGCCAGTCGACCGGGAGGATATTAGACGGATCTTACTTACCTATATCCAAGGTGGCTGGTCCCTCCGGAGTCGGTCAGGTCGCATGTGGTTGTGTAGTGCAAGGGAAATAAGGTGATGTGATGTGTATCTGGGTGTGACTGATGGTGATTGACCCTAGATCTTGGCCGTCGGCAGCAGCCCGGGCGTCGACACCGCTCCAAATTGAGGGAACCTTCCGCGGCGTTGTCCACAGTCACTTTCCTCGTTCGTCACGATGACAGTCCATTAACTCTATCGTACGATCAACCAACTTACAGAAGCCACCAACTCTCGTTTGTTATAAGGTTAACGCACAAAAAGAACACGGAGCGTCCGGATCAAAGGTCACTACCGTTTCGCGTAGCAACAGTTATTTCTAGAATATCAAAGGCCGCACTAGCTAATATTGTCGAATGCACCTATACAGATTCTGAGTCGGACCCAATAAGTTCCGGAAAAGGCTATCCAACAAGGAATTCGCGTTATAAATCCTAGACAGGATGTTTACTAGACGTCTAAACTATTCCGCGGTTCCCGAACAAAAAATGACAGTGTGCTAGCGTTAGCACCGCTGACAGACGACTGCTGCGCTTGCGCGTTCTACGCACGACCGAAAGTCAAACCGGTATGAATGCACCGCGCCGAGCGCCCTCTCGCGTTAATTCTTGAAATTAGCGTTTGGCGCGAACAAGTAATAAGAGTAATTAGAGAAAACTTCTAGTAAAACGCACAGTCGCGTACCGCCAAGCCTCCAGATGGTATCGTGGATTTTGACGCAATGTGTTCGTGAAATTTGGCAGCTAGAATTAATCCAAACAATTCGTCAGATCACTCCTCATAGTAGATTCGATAGTAAATGCAAAGGGATGCAACATCCCTACGCAGCGCCAGTGTATCGAGCCGATCAGAAAGAATTCGGTCGTCGAAGATTCGAACCGCTCTGCGCTGGATGCGGTCAAGTGGAAGGAGCTGGCACTGGGGTGCCCGACACAGAGAAGAGAACAGTATTCCATGTTAGGCCGAACTTGCGTTTTGTGAAGTTGCATGCGATATGCCAGCATGAAATACTGTCTCGCTCTGCTGAGCACGCCAAGCTTTTTAGAGGCCAATTTGGCCTTCCCTTCCAAGTGACCAGAAACAGCACACTATTCGATCTGTCGACGCCGAGGAATCCGATGCCAGCTGAGGCAGCAAGGGGAGTGCCTTGAAACTGAGAAGATACGACAAAGGGGTTCTTTTTAGCGGTAAACGCGCAAACTTGTGTCTTCTGGGGATTGAACTGGACTAGATTCAGTCGCCCCAATCCGAGACTATGTTCAGCAAAGACTTGACTTCAAACACAAGTTTATCCCGGTACTCGGCGACGTTTTCCTGAGAAGTATTGGCACGGCCGGTATATAGGGCATCACCAGTGGTGCTGTCGTCTGCATAGCAATGAATGTTACCAGCTTGCAACATATCATTGATATACAAAAGAAACAGCGTTGATGAGAGCACGCAGCCTTGTGGAACACCAGCTTTAGTAAGCTTGTAATCAGAGCATTCACCGTCTACTACGACCTTGATGCTCCGATCAGCAAGGAAGCTGGTGATCCAATTGTACAATTTCTCGGGAAACCCATAGGAAGAGAGCTTCGAAAGAATCGCTTCGTGCGAGATCCGATCGAAGGCCTTCGCTATGTCTAAACTAACGGCCAATGTCTCCCTCTTGGACTCTACTGCCTCCACTCATCTATGAGTCAGGTAGACCAGAAGATCATCAGCTGATCGACCCTGACGAAAACCGTATTAGCGGTCACTAATCAGCTGGTGATCCTCAAGGTACCTCATGAGCTGGCAGTTTATAATAGATTCCATTATTTTGGAGAACAAGGAGGTGATGGCGATAGGCCTGTAGTTGGACGGGTCTGAGCGATCGCCTTTTTTAGGGATCGGGTGCACCAAAGCTGTCATCCATGAGTTCGGGACTACGTCTTGGGAGTAGGAGTACCGGAAAAGACGCGTTAACCGGTGCCAACTTCGGAGCACACGTCTTCAGAACAATGGGAGTGACTCCATCAGGCCCACTCGACTTGTTGACGACCAGTGAGAGGAGTGCTTTGCGAACCGAGCGCTGTGTAAACCGCACATCCATCCGGCATGGAGCACTCACACCGCGAAATGGTCGGCGGTGTGTTCCCCCCGTCATCTAGAGTCGAGATGGACGCAAAGAGAGAGCCTAACAGATCAGCTTTCTCCTTTGCGGCATGGGCCAGTGAGTCGTGCTTTCTGTGCAGAGTTGGAAGAGATGGCTGACAGAAATTCCCTTGGACAGCCTTGGCGAGAGACCAGAATGAACGGGTTCCCGAAGGAAGGTGAATTAGCTGACTAGAAGGACCTGGAGGCGGTATTATACTTCTTTTTAAGAGCGCTGGTGTTTACATCCCGAGACGTTAATGCATCAGCCCAGGCCCGATAGCACTCCTGCTAGCGTGATGCTATTTTACAGGAGCGACCAAACCATGGCTGCGATCTGCCTCCGATGGGCACCACAGAGGATGGAATAAAAAATTCCATAAGCATTACGGCTATGGGACCTATCGAGGCACCCACCCGTAGACGAGGGAATGGTCGTCACTGTCTACGCGCAGTCATAGGATGGATATGTCCTTACCTTCAAGACTGCCGAGGCGTCGAAAACAGATGTCCTCTCTAACGTATAAAGACACTTGAGTCTCGGTTAAAAAGAGCAAGGTCGGCTTCGCCGTCTCTAGATGGTAGTGGACAGCGTTAAGGTTGGAATGAAGTCCCCTGATGTTGCAAAATTCACGGATGGCGTGACAGGGGTCGCCTTGGTCTTATTGCTCCGCTTGCCCCGAGCAGTAATAGCCGCGATCGGAATTTTGCTCCCCACTCCACCCACCCACGCTCAGGAGTGGAGTAGCTTGCTCGTGGATGCTCAGGGAGGGATTCTCCAGGGGTGCTGGTACCCTTCTGGGGTAGTCTTTCGTTTAATTCCGCTATCGTGTTGATGGGGGGAGGGGGGGAGAAATTGGATCTCCGGCCACCTGCACTCACCAAGCGAAACGCAGAGGTATACATATTAAAAATGGTAAACATTAATTCGCTAAGATATGCGTAATAAAATAAAAATGATGTTTCGTACGTAGTTTGAAGAGTACCTCCCACCCTACCTCAATTGCGTGCACTGTCTGTGTCACTACTAATCACTGCTACTCCTAACATCACTACAGTCGGAAAGACACACCACAGTCGAAAATACATACACCATGGAGAATACATATCACCATCGATGTGTTTTTAATTTTCTGTCATTGGTACGATTAGTAGTTTGATTTTTATAGAAACACGCCAAAAAAGGTTGCTTACCTCTGTAAGTTGGCGTAAAGGTTCACCTGCCATAGAAACAGGCTTCAGTAATACCAGTTACTCGACACCGAAGACTCAGTAATTCCTTCATGGGACAATGTTTAGAAGATCAATGATTTTACAACAAAGTCGCCAAAAATATGCAGGACATATCGTCAAAAACTTAAAGTATTTGCTAAGCAAAATGTGTTTGATAAAGGAAAAGGTTATAGGCTCAGAAGGGCTAGAACCCAGAGCCGTAAAGCCAGTTTAAAAAAAAAGGGAAAAGGTTATATTAGGGCTTGTATCCGATACCGATACCGACGTAGATATATCGGCGATACTCCAAGTTTGCCGATATATCGGCATCGGCGATATTTTTATGGCCGATTTAACAATGCTTTTCAAATTTCGCGCTTTAAAAATGTAATGTAAACGCGCGTGTTATCTCGTCTGTTCCGTTGCAAACGATGCATGAACTAACTATGCTCGGGGAAACCCCGCGCTTTATACAGTGTCTTGTTTAGCCACAATGCTTGATCCTCGTTACAAAACACGAATATTTCATTCACAGTCTAATATTACTATGGTAAAAAAGCGTCTTATTCAGTTACTTGATCTTAATTAGCACTGCATTCCGAAACTATTTCAGACACGGTCACACTTACATTTAGTACTATAACTGTAAGTTTTGAGATGCCTACGGGCTTTGGAGCATTTGTGAAAATATTATTAGAGAGTCCAAGGAAGATGAGCCCCTGTCCACTCTAAGCTGTAATTCTCTCAAAGAAGTCGAGAGATACCTAAGATCTCCTAATATATCGAGAGGCGCAAATCCGTTCGTTTTCTGACGCAATGACGGTTTATACCAAAACTTGAAAAAAATCGCGCACAAGTACTTTTATTTTCTAAATGAGTTCTGTTGCATCTGAGACACTATTTTCCACCGCAGGTCTTATTCAAACAGATTTGTGAAATCGCCTTTCGCCGCAAAACTTAATAGACATATTTTTATATATATAGATAGATTTTTAGGCACAATTGCGACACAGAAGTGCCTTATTAAAATAAATGTCGTACTTTAAATGATATGGTAATGTTATTTCATTTTAAGTAAATTATAAATAAAAAACAAGTTGCTGCGTGTAACGTCCATAGAGAGCGAAAAAATTTCATTTCTTATTCACTGCCTGACGGGCGTTGTTCTACGGAATGGTTGACTGACCATTTTATTTATTAATAATAATAATATAGTCGGTAGTAGTTACTAAAAAAAATTTACGCTTAATAAACGAATTGCACCCTTATAAACCTCGCTACGTATGGACATTACAGCTGACTGACCAGTTGTCTCCCCATAGGACAGTCAACGTCCTATCTATCTATCATAATAAAACTATCATAATTTTGATTTATATATATAAAAAAAAAACAAAAGTTCATAAAGCCTCAGCCTTAAGAAATTGATTTTATTATGTCGGTGGTCACGACATGCTTGTCCGAGCATCTGAGACACCTGTTCTAATATCCGCTTGATAGACCGTAGCTTTTTATTGTAAATTATGATTATAATCACCTCACAAAAAACCAGGCTTAATAAATTCAGATATTTTTGGCTCTGCCTCTTGGACTATAAGAATACTGTTTTTAAACAAAAATTTCATCAATGTTAATTTTAATTACTAAAACTATTAACGAATCTCAATCGTTTTAAAAGGTTTTATTTAGTTTGTCTTGTTATTTGTTCTTCTTATATTAATTAAAAAATAACCTAACTTGTGTTTATTTATTTTAACTTTAGTTTTGAATTCAATAAGCGTATCGGTATCGTTATAGTCGATATTTTTAAAAGATCATCGGTATCGGCATCGTATCGTGCGAAAAGGCGTATCGTAGCATTCATAGTTATTAGACTCCGAAACGGTATATGGTTGATAATACCTCATAGAAATGAGACGATTGCTACCATGTTGTTTCTGAATATTTTCATATTTAATTGTACAACATATTATAAACATATATTATGTTTAAAACAAGTCCATCTAGCTTCCTTGGTAGTTCTTTCTAGGACAGAGGTTTTTCCAACCCATGTTAAAACATATATTGATAACTTTCAATAAGTATTATTTTAACCTAAGATTTAAAAAAAACCTTATTGTTTTGTTTATTTATTTTATTTATTTATTTCATTTCATCTTACAAGCTAACAGATGACACATCCAAAACGCTTATAAGATTAACAATTCGGTATTACACGTCCTCGTCATTATATAGGTAATAGCAAAATTATTTTACAATATCCTAATTAACAATACATCAATAATATCATAGAAAAGAAATCATAAAAAATACAATCTGAGTCCATAAATACATTAATATTAAAATAAAATAGCAATAATAATAATAAAAAAAAATAAGAACAGCAATTATAATAATTAATTATGAAAACAATATACGTAAGTTTGATGGCTAGAATTTATTTAAAATTATTTGAAATTTTTTATACAAATGTCCTAATCCATCGGCAAATAAGTCTAGCTCGTTGTGCTGTGCAAGTATGTCCCCAATAATGCGGAGTGCGCGGTTGGTGGGCGCTTGACGAGCGCGCTCGGTACGTGCGCGGGGGGGCTCCAACAGTCTCGGGCGGCGCCGCGGTGCCACCTGTCCCTGCGAGTTTGCTGACACGTTCCCAGGGACCAAGATGCGGACACGCTCTAGTATTTGGGGACTATCAATCCTATTATGAATTATGGACAGATATTGCATGACTTGAGACACTGCCCTTCTTAGTTTCAAAGTTTCAATGTCCACCATACCAGACACGAATAAGGAAGGGTATAAGTAGGGATAGTATCCGTACTGTTTCTTATATATCCATCGAGCAAATTTACGTTGTATTTTTTCAATCATTAGAACGTATTTCTCTTCGTAAGGATTCCAGATAACAGCTCCGTACTCTAGTTTACTGCGCACATAAGCATTATATAATACTTTTGCGACCCGTGTATTATCAAACTGTGACGCAGTCCTTATGACAAACCCTAACATTTTATGCGCTGACTTACAAATTTTGTTGATATGCGTGTGAAAATCTAATTTGCAATCTAATAGTAATCCTAAGTCCCTAATCTCTTTAACTCTTTCCAAAGGATCGTCAGTCAACTTATAATTAAAAATAATGGGCTGTGATTTTCTCGTGAAAGTTATTATTTTACATTTGAGATTATTGAACGGAAGGTGGTTTTCTTGACTCCATATAGACACAGCATCAATATCTCTTTGTAATGTCACGGCATCAGCCTCAGTTTCAATACCCAGAGTTAGTTTCAGGTCATCCGCAAATAGGAGACACTCTGCAGTCAAAACAACATCTGGCAAATCGTTGATAAATATCACGAATAGCAAAGGTCCTAACGTACTACCTTGACTTACTCCTGACCTAGTAAAGTAGTCTCCAGAGTTATATCCACTGAGCCTCACATATTGACGTCGATTATTAAGGTAACAAGAAAAAAAATTGAGGAGCTTTGGTTCGAATCCAACAATCGCCAACTTTTTCAATAGTACATCGTTATCCACAAGGTCAAAGGCTTTCTGGAAGTCAAAGTAAGCCGCATCAACTTGCCTTCGCTTATCCATTTGTGAGCAGATATAGTCTACATGCGCGACCAAGTTGGTGACGGTGGAGCGAGCTGTACGAAACCCATGTTGACCATTATGCAACTGTTGACCGATTTGGCATTTGATGGAATCACTTAGAATTGCTTCAAAGATCTTACCAAAAACGGATAGGACAGCTATAGGTCTGAATGAAGTAACATTTGTGCCTCCGTCTCCTTTAGGAACAGGAGTGACTCGAGATAGCTTCCAGCTCTCAGGATATCTTGACTGGGTCAATGAAAGATTATATAAATACAGAAGAGGCCGCCCAAGGACTGATATACAGTCCTTAACTAAGAAGACAGGAATGCCATCCGGCCCACCAGCCGATCGTGGCTTAAGGCGTCTCACTACCTTCTTCAGATCGTTTTCATCAACTGTCGTGATGGAAACTGAGGTCACATCTCGATGTATATGTGCATATGCAGCTTTTGCAGCAGTATCCGGGTTTAGCACGGGTTTCTCTGCATGAAAAACGGACGCAAAATATTTAGCAAAGGCATCGGCTGCGGCTTGATCTGTCACTGCAGTATTTTCATATATATATGTATCTATGTACCTTCTATTCTTTTTCTTCTCCTTTACATATTTCCAGAATTGCACAGGATCGTCAATGATATTTTTTTGTAGTACAGTCATATATTTCCGGTATTCGCAGTCAATCAATTTCTTAACTTTTTCTCTATAATATATAAACATAGCCTTATTAAATTCTTTGCCCTCTTTTTTGAATTGCTTATGATGAAAGTGTTTGTTTTTTATATTTTTTATTATTTCTACGTTGTACCAGTTTGGATATATGTATCGCTGATTGTTTGATAATTGTTTTTTAATAGGCACAAACAGATTTATAATTTCGTATAGCTTATCATAGAACAGCTGTACAGCACAGTTAATATCGCTTATTGTTAACAAATCAGACCAGTCTATTTCAATCAAAGTCCTATATAGACCCTGAAAATCTGCCTTACGCCAGTTCCAATCTGTATTGGTATTCGAGCGAGGTGTCACTTGCTGCAAAGATGACACGTTCGATGCTATCCAAAAGCCCGGAAATGTAATATTTATATCGAGCATAGGATGGTACTGATCGATATTTACCAGAGGATCTTCACTGAGAGATACCACTATCTGTTTAGCTTCGAAACTGCCCAGCACCAGATCCAGCATACCACCGCGATTATTTAAGACTGTATTATATTGCTTAAGCGAGCAGAATTCACAAAAAAAGTCAAAAGAAGTCTTTATATTGGTACTGCAAGAGTTTAAATTAAAGTCACCTAGGATTAGAACATTTAGGTCAGGGTAAGTACAAATCACATTTTCTATACATGTCAAAACATTCAAATATTGCTCATCCTTATAATTTGGTGGCAGATATACGACACAACATAAAACTTTTACATTTTTAAATGTCACAATTGCAAATATTAATTCTTTGTCATCAGTCATACTAACAATATCCGTAACTATTTTAACATTATAACGATCACGAATCGCGAGCAAAACTCCTCCCCATCCACAATCACCAGGTCTATCTTTACGAACCACATGAAAACCCGGAGGAAAGAGTTCACCATTGGACACTGAACTCGTAAGAAAGGTCTCAGTTAATGCTATCATATCATATTCACTTTCCATAACATTATTAAGAAACATATTAGTTTTTGTTCTTAGGCCACGAACATTTTGGTAACATATTTGCATTTCATGGAATCGCGGTTGACGTTTGATTGTTTTTGTCTTTGGCACGAAAGTTCTGCCGCCATGGTTTAATACAAATATCTTCAGCCCAGTTTTCAGATGACATTATATTTCCGGCCTGCTTCAATGGAACTCCGAGTTTGAACGATGCATAATGTCCACGTGGTTTCAATTTTTCAACCGTGCATTCGCCGTTCCCACATATTGAGTTAAGATGTTCGTGTACTTGCTCTACTGTGGTGCCTTCTCGTACGTAGTATAGATGCAGGTATCTTCGCCTTTCAGCAGCATGCAACATCGTAGAACCAGGCGCAGCGGTACCTCGAAGCAACCCGGGAAGTGAGGGGCGTGCCCGTTTGCGTGATACTTCTTGCCAGTTGTCATCAATCCGCTCGCAGTCCTGGCTATTATTTAAAGAGACGGAAGACTCGGAATATTCTGCGTGCATCATCTTTTGAGCACTGATAACTGGAGCCACAGATGAGACTTTATTTGTTCTGGGGACAGTAAACGCAGACTGATCCTTATCAGTTCCGAGATGTTCGATATTTGGTTGAGGTTGAGGTTGAGGTTTCCGCTTCGGAGGCTTATTTTGTGTAGTGGGTATATTTTCAAGGGTTGGACTGGTTTGAGTACCGCTAGTTTTCAAGATTTTGGATATTGGCGTCGGTTCGCAGGCCTTATTAATGCTCGATAAGTAGTGTTCCTCTAATTGTAAAACCTTGTTCGTTATCAAATTAACCCTATCTAAGAATTCAGTTTTGAACGCCAAAAATTGTTCAATAAGCAGTGTATTAATTTTGGTCATTAGCTGTGCTTCGAATTCAATTTGCAGGTTTTTTAATTCACGCACAACAGAATCTTTTAAATCTTTTCCTGTAATACTTTCGCCTGTGCTTCCCATAGTAGTTTGGGCGTATCGCGGCTTAGCTCGTACAGTCACGTTATCAGAAGTCTGCATGGATACGTCAAGGCACGAAGCAGTAGAGGTGGTATTTAAATCCTGCATAACGTGTGGCCGCACTGGAGTATGAGAATTATCTCGTTTTGGTTGCCTACAGCGACATTCTCCACATATCCAAGACATCTTTAATTCCACCGACATATTTTTAAACACATCAGTAGTAATGTTTGCACAAATAATATCAAAAATCTGCTTACATTTTGCACATTTCATATATGGACCGTCTCCGCTCACCTCGGTGCGGCAGCCCGCGCACGGTGCCGTCCGACTTGCCATCGTAGTGCAGTCCGCTGAACTTAGATATTGCAATGCCGCGCACACAGCGCTGGCCGGTAGCGATGACTCAGTGGAGCAGCGGGTGTCACGCGGGTTGTCGTAGGTCAGGGTTCAAGATGGTTAACAAATAATTTTGAAATGTTATTGCTAATATCTTCGAAATTACTGGATGGAAATGAATTTTGGTTTCACCACTAGAATCGTCACTACAACAGCGTTGTGAATTATATACACACAACTTTAGAGAACAACTTTAGACACGAATTTTAACA